CGGCTCCATCGAGCCAAGCGTGCGAAGCAGCGCGAACAAACAGCGTAACCTGCATGCGCGATGGCTCACTGCGCGGTCCTGCCGCGATGGCTCACTGCGCGGTCCTGCCGCGATGGTCGCTGCGCGGTCCTGCCGCGATGGTCGTTGCGCGGTCCTGCCGCGATGGTCGCTGCGCGGTCCTGCCGCGATGGGCGCTGCGCGGTCCTGCCGCGATGGTCGCTGCGCGGTCCTGCCGCGATGGCTCGCTGCCGCGATGGCTCACTGCGCGGTCCTGCCGCGATGGTCGCTGCGCGGTCCTGCCGCGATGTGTTTTCCAAACATGGAAGCGGCCCCGCCGCCGCTACGCCGTGTTCCGCCCTGCACGGTCTAGCCGGGAGCGACCGTACGTCTCGAAAAATGATGCGCGCGCGCGTAGTCTGGTGTCAGGCTTTCTCTCTCGTTCAGCGATGTGGTCCGCAACATGTCAGGGGTAGCGCACGCGTGCTTTTTCGCACGCAGGCAGACACGTAGACTCAGCGAGGTAGACGCGTTTGGGACATTGCTTCGCAAGCGCTGAATGACCGAAGGCTGTTTTCCTCAAATGGTGCTAAAAAGCTAAGTCCCAGCTAAGTTCATTCTAAGTCCCGGCACCCGGAACTTAGCTCGAACTTATAAGTGGGCCTATCTAAGTTAAACATAGACAAGTAACTTATAACTATCCTCGGGCTTAGCAAACTTATAAGTCCACTTGTCCCACGTTATAAGTCCACTTGTAGTAACTTATAACTCAAGTTATAAGTACGACCCTATCCCAGTATGGCATCTACGGGATCGGGCAAGGAGGACTCGAGTGGGGAGCTCATGATGGAGGCGGTGAAGCTCTTACGGTCGTTGAAGCCGAGCGCAAAGGCAGTGAAGGTGAGTTCACTCAAGGAAGCCGGAGGGGGACGGGCTTTGCTGGATGGTGGGGCCACGCACATCCTTCGTCCGGCCTTCACGGAGCAGGAGTACGACGAGGCTCTGCCGATCAAGGTGGAGCTGGCGGCGGGGGAGGCAGTCTTACGGCAGGATCCGGCAACGGGCACGCTGCTCACCAACTTCGAGACGCAGGTCATCATTCCCTTGGGCAAGGTGGTCAGGATGGGCTACAAGGTGACCTGGGAGAACGACACGTTTGAAATGTGCGATGGGAACGGATCGAAGGTGGAGGTGGAGCTGCAATCGGGGTGTCCGACGGTTGCGATGGAGACGGCCTGGCAGTTGATCGATGGCCTAGAAAAGGAGGAGACGGAGGCAGAAAGGAGGTGCTGCGCTCTTCGAGCTGGAGACCCGGGTGATCTTGATCCCAGAGTGTGGAGGTGGTTGAATGACTTGCGAGAAATGTGGCCGGGTGCCGGATGATCTCCTGGTAAGGGTCATTCCCATGGGAAACTGGGATGGGTCTTCCCTTCCTTGGAACAGGAGGCAGAGGAAGCGGTTTCGGACGTGCGACTCGGTGATCGTCCACCTCTTCTCTGGCCCGGATCAGTCGTGGTGGAAGAGGCAGCTGGAGACGAAGAGTCGGGCGGTCCTGTGCGTGGATAAGGAGGCCAACCTTTGTCAAAACTTGCTACGAGATGAGGTGGCGAGCTACTTGGCAATGTGGACAGCCTGATCGGTGGTCCACCGTGTCGCACGGTGAGCAAACTTCGATTTAGGTCGCCCGGTCCACCGCCATTGAGGTCGAGGGATGGACCACAGAGGTTTGCTTTGGATGACCTCACGGTGGCTCAGAAGGAGTTGGCCTGGGGAGATGCGGTGCTCTGGATGAGGCAGCTGTGGTTGTCTACGTTGGCCCAGGGGTCACGGCAGAAGAAGGTGAGCTTCTTGAAGGAGCACCCACGGGACCCGCAGGAGTACAAGGACACTCAGGATGGGACTGACTATCCGTCCTTCTTTGCTTGGCCGGAGTGGGAGGCCTTCAAGAAGAAGTATGCCCTGGAGGAGATCCGTATGGATATGGGAGCCTGCGGCCATAGCAGAAGGAAGCCTTCGACGCTGGGGACCAATCTGCGCCCGTTGAAACTGTTGGAGGGACGATGTGGCTCAGGGAAGCAGGTGACGGAGGACTATGAAACGCTGGGGCTGGACGGACGGATGAAGGCGTCTCGGTCTTGGGCGGCATGGCCAGTGGACTTCAAGCTGGAGGTCGTGAAGGGCATCTTGTTGGAGCTGGAACATCCAGTTGTCTCACGGTTGTCGAAGGAGGAGTGGAGGAGGCATTGTGCTATGGATCACATGCCGTTTAGCCGGGAATGCCCTGATTGTCAACGAGGGGCGGGAAGAGCCCGGGCACATCGGAGAATTCCAAGCCCGGACACCTACACCTTGTCCTTGGATCTTTGTGGCCCATTTCGTTCGGGGCGAGATTTGGATGAGCCGTTATGGTTGGTGTCTTCACGGTTCCGGTGTATAGGAAGGGCAAGGAGGTGGTTGGCCTGGCACCGGGAATGGACAAGGTGCTGAGCAAGGAGCCTGGGGTTGAGCTGGAGGTGGGAGAAGGTGAACTTCTACCAGAGGTGAACGGTGAAGATCTGCCGAGGCATGAGGAGGGTGACCCAGGGGACATGGAGAAGTGGGAGGAACTGGTGGAGCTGGAGGAGGTAGAGGTTCGGAACTACACGATGGTAGAGCCTCTGGCGAGTCGGCAAGGGCATCAGCTGCTGGGAGCCTTGGCGAGGATGGTGGCCAGGTTGAACTACCTGAATCTCCCTGTCCGGCGAGTTCATTTGGATAGGGCGGGAGAGCTGGCCAGCAAGGGGCCTATACGTCTGGGGGAGACTGGAAAGCGAATGGACGTGGTGTCCCGGAAGAACAATGGCCTATGATAGCACGCCATGTGGGGGAACGGCGAGGTCGGCTTCAGCTGGAAGCGCTGGGGTATGTGACCCCGGAGCTGCTCTTGGCGCGCTCGTAGGAGGAGGGGATGGGTCCGAGGCCCTGATGTATCAGTGTCGCTGACCTCGGGAGGCCATGTGGTGGAAACCGAGGAGGGCAAGTTCGTTAGGGTGGTGGATGTGGTTCCCTCGGAGCAGCCTGAAGGAAAGGATGGAGGCCTAGAAGGGGCCTTGGAGGTGCAGGAGAGGAACACTGGAGAAGGACCTCTGCGGGCACTTGGGGAGCCAAGGTTTCGACTTCGGGAGAAGACCGCGGTCAAGGATCTGGTGGTTGAGGAGCTTCAACAGCGCTTGTGGAGGGGGAGTGAGTTGGCGAATGAGGAGTTTCGGAAAGTGGAGGTTGGAAAGGAGTATGATGGAGTGGCGATGGACCTCATATACCAGGTGGACTTGGAGAATGAGGAGATTGCGAGAAGGCTGGAGGAGGTTCAGATGAAGGCTTGCCAAGTAGAGCTGGAGGGGGTTCAGGAGGTCAGTGAGGAGCTGTTCCTTCAGACGAGGACGGTTGGTCTTCAGGAGGTGCGGAAGAATCTGGAGAACTGGGTGCCGTCGATGAAAGCGGAGGTGGACAACTTCGTGAGCAATCAGGCCATTCAGAGAGTGTCCAAGGGGGAGGCAGAGCTGGTGATGGAACAAGCCAGGTTGAGTGGCAAGAGCGTTGAGGTCATTCCAGCGATGGGCGTCTTCACGCGGAAGTCCGGTTCGGGAAGGCACCGGTCACGGATTGTGTGCTGCGGGAACCGGATGAACGACAGGGCCACGGAGGAGCTCTACGCATCAGGAGCGGATGCAACCCAGGTGCGAACCTTGCTGCGGAAGGCAGCACTGATGAACTGGGACATCATGTCCCTGGATGTGAAGTGTGCCTTTCTCTTGGCACCGACGAGCCAGGACGAGCTGATCGTGGTTCAACCCTCGAGGATCTTGGAGGAGGCTGGGCTGGTGAGTGCCCAGGAGCGATGGATAGTGACCGGGGCGATGTATGGTCTGACCACAGCTCCGCGGGATTGGGCAGGGCATCGGGACAATACCCTGCGCACCATGGAATGGACCCAGGTGGTTGATGGGCAGCCGATGACTCTGGGGCTGGTGGCTATGAAGGATTCCAATTTGTGGGTCATCAAGGAGGTGAAGAATGTGGAGAAGAAGCTGTACGGTGAGGTGAGGGGCTTTGTAGCCATCTATGTGGACGACTTCTTGACGGTTGGACCGAAAGTCGTGGAGGAGGAGCTCACGAAGAGGTTGAACTCTTTATGGCCTACGTCGGCACCAGAATTTGCGGAGGTGGGTTCGGAGCCCATGAAGTTCTTGGGCATGGAGATTCAACGAGAGGCTGATGGAGGCTACTTGCTTCACCAGAAGAGCTACGCGAGGGAACTCCTGAACAGGCATGAGGTGGTGACGGAGAGCCCCTACGTGAGAGTGCCTGAGGAAAAAGAGGTGGTGCAGCCGACCCTCAAGCTAGTGAAGCAGGCCCAGAAGCTCACCGGAGAGCTGTTGTGGCTGAGCGGTCGGACGCGGCCGGATGTGGCAGCAGCGATTCAACGCATGTCACAGAAGGCCACGCGAGACCCGGCCTGGGTCATTGAGCTGGGAAAGAACGTCTTGGCATATGTTTGCAGGACGTGGGACTATGCCCTGCACTACGGACCGAAGGTGGTTCAGGAGGAGGACCCGGACATGTTCCGAAGAACACCAAGGCGCAATGGCACCGTGGAGGTTTTGGTGGATGCATCGTTTGGGGTGGAGGATGAGCACAGCGTGTCTGGGCTGGTGGTGCTGTATGGGGGAGTGCCGATACAGTGGGAGTCGAAGAAGCAAGGGCTGATAGCTCTGTCGACAGCCGAGGCTGAGCTTGCGGCGTTGATGGAGGGAGTGCAAGCGGGAAGGTCAGTGCGAGCTCTGGTGAGCCTGGTGGAGGATGAGGTTGAGCTTGAGCTCTACAACGACAACAGAGCAGCTCTCATCTTGGCCAGCGGTCAGGGTGGAGGATGGAGGACGAGACATTTGAGGATTAGGGCAAATTGTTTGGCGGAGGCGGTGAAGGAAAAGGAGCTGAGCTTGACGCACCGACCAGGAACCAAGCTGTGGGCAGATGCGTTGACCAAGTGCCTGCCTGCTGGACCGTTGGAGAGGTTTCGGAAGGGCATTGGGCTCTACAGCGAGAAGAAGGAGACGCAGGGAGGAGAGAATGACCTTAGAGAGGCGGTGGTCAAAGGTGTGGCCGCGGTGGCGGTGGGAGGAACCCTTTTGTCGATGAGGAGGTTGGCTGGTGGACCGCCGGAGATGGGCGAGATTGGTGGTGCTCTCCTGGCAGGAGGGCGCATGGTGCTGGTCAACCAGGTGAAGAGCGTGGGGATTCAGAAGGTCCGGAACCTGGTTAGAGAAAAGGTGGAAAGGAAGTTGGAGGGGGGCATGAGGAGACTGGGGGTAAGACCGGGGAGTTTGTGCTCGTCGGCATTCGCGGAATCCAGCCCTACGGCGTCCTTTACCGTGAGCTCTTCGGCAAGGTCAAACCCGAGCCCTACGGCGTCCTCTACCGTGAGCTCTTCGGCAAGGTCAAACCCGAGCCCTACGGCGTCCTCTACCGTGAGCTCTTCGGCAAGGTCAAACCCGAGCCCTACGGCGTTCTCTACCTTGAGCTCTTTGGCATGGTTGAACTCGAGCCCTACGGCGACTTCGTCCTGGAACACCACGAGAGGGTCAGACGCGAACGCTGTGACTTCCCAGGATCAGAAGCCGATGGAGTGGTTGGAGCCGAGCTCTATGGAGTCTGTGAGGCGGAGTAGAACAGGGTTGAGGGGCACTTCCTCGACTACTGGTGGTGGAACGGGTATCCTGGTGGCGGTTGCGACGTTGAAGGTCGAGGGGGCGGAAGCCCAGGGTGATCAGCAGGTGGAAAACGCTTCTTGGGCGTTGACGGTCCTGGTGGTGGTGGTGGCGATCATGTCGGTGATCTGCTACAAGCTGGTGGAGGAGATGGTGAAGGCGATTCTGCAGCAGCGGAGGCGTGGAACCGTGGAGATCCTGGTGGAGAACCGGGAGGTGCAGACGACGTCGGAGGAGACGGAGCAGGAGATCAGAAGGCGCGTGTGGGAAGAGGTCAGGCGGGATCTTCGCCTGGAGCGCCTTCAGCAACCCTTTTCCTCCCTAGGATCTTCTCCCACCTTTCCCTGTTGAGCTCCTTTCCCCCTTTTCCCCCTAAGGCCTTTTCAGATCTTCTCCCTTTTCCTCCCGAAGATCCTTTGCCCCCTTTCCCTGTTGAGATCCTTTCCCCCTTTCCCCCCTGAGGCCTTTTCCCTGCCTGGGATCTTTTCCCTTTCCTCACTGAGATCTTTCCCCCCCTTTCCCTGTTGAGATCCTTTCCCTTTTTTCCTTCCTAAGGCCTTTCCCCCCAAGGCATCGTGAGGAGCAAGAAATGGAGGAGGAGGACTTTCGGATGGAGAGTCGCTCGGCGAGTCAGAGCTCGGAGTCTTCGAGCAGTGGGGTTCGCCTTCGGCAGAGGAGGCATGACACGCCAAGGCCGATGGGGAGCATCGCGGAGACCCCGATGGCCAGGCAGGAAGAACCGCAGCGGGAGCCGGTGGAGCTGTATCACCTCACGCACATGGGGGAACGGTACCACTGGAACCGAGAGTGCTGGGGATTGAGGCAGGCGACGATCAGGGGCATGAGGTCCCTGCTGCCGTGCCCGAACTGCTGGCTGGGAATGAGGATGCAGAGGGATCGCAATGCCACGGCGTGGAAGGGAGAGGATGGCCGGCGACCTGCGTGCCGTTGTTGGCACACTTCAGGAGCATGCCGCTCCGACCTTGCAGGTTCTGTGTCAATGGGGTGGTGGAGGACCCGACGGCGTGAGAGAAAGGCTTGAGCAGTGGTAGGTGTTTTGGATGAGACAGCCGAAAAGGGGCTGAATCTCGATGCCGTGTGAGCACTTGCTCCATGGTCTTTGATCATCGCGCGGAGTTCCCTGACCCGTCAGGGAAGGGGAGCCCATGCGCCGACTTCCGATAGCCTTTTTGGATGAGAAACAGGAGATTTCGCTTTTTAGCTTCTGAGATAACAATGGGAAAAATATGGAGGCTGCACCCAAAAGGACAGCCATACACGGGTGTTCTCAGGACATTGATTCGCTTTCAAAGAGCACCTCGGCAAGCCCATTTGAGGTATCCCTTCTCGCGTTACTTTGAAGTCGAAACTAGGGGAAACCCGCCATTGCGGAATTGACAAATGCCATCTGGAGACAAACGCCCAATGAAAGTTGCACAACAAATGCCGCCGCTTGTGAATCAGGGGACCCCAAGGTTCCAACAGGTTCCCATCGCCAGCGCGATTGGCCAATCATGTTTGCATCTATTTGGCACCCATTTGGGGCATGTCTTTGCTGTGGCGGTCTCCGTGGTTTTCTGTGGGTTTCAAGGGAAAGCAAAAAGGAACACCACCCATTTTTGGCGATTTTTTGCGGGGGGCGGGGGGGTCTTCAAAAAGAGTGAGTCAGAACCCATACTAGCTGTGGGTCAAACCCATGGGATCCCATTTTGGTTGGTAGCTGAATTCACCCCCCATTTTGGGGTACCTATTTTAGTGGTTGGATTGAATCGGATGTTCGCTCGTGCCGACCACACGCGTCCCACACGTTAATAAAAGCACCGCCGCCGAATTGTTTTTCGCCGCGGGGCCGAAGATGGCCAGCTTCTCGAAGGCCTTGTCGCGGCCTGGTGGCGGCGAGGAGAGAAGCCGACAAAATCCAACTCCCGGGCCGCGGCCTTAGTGGGGGGAGGGAGGCAAAACCCCTGTTGAACTACCACATATCTACTCACCTACAAGAGCTTTTGGTGGTTGTTGCATATAACATACCCAACAAACCATGGCACAAACCATGGTTTCCAAGTCGTTGCGAAATGGGAGTTCGCAGCCCTCCGGAGGAAGAAGAACCAGCCCTAGGGGACGACACTTCCCCATTCTGCCCAGGGATCCTTTCCGGAAAACCACCGGAACCCCGGGGAAAGCAGCTGGCTTTTGAAAAGGACGATGGTTGAATGGCGTGCAGCTTGCGCCCGGAACATCGCCCCCTACCAAGCTAAGGGGATTCATGGGGGGAACTCCGTCCACCAAGCACTGCCAAGGGGAACACCCGACGGATCCGTCCGTCACACCTTCAGGTGGCTTCCTAGAGGCAGGAAATGACCCCAGCGGGGAATTGCAGATCACCTAGGATCAAGTCTCAAGCCTGCCCAATTCCGTGGAATTGGCAGGAACAGCCAGGAAATATCCCCCAACAAAAAAACCAGGGATGAGTCCAGGCTTGTGAAATGTGTTCCACTGATATGCACAGGCCTGCCAAGTATCCATCTTCATTGGTTCCCCTCAATCGGGGAATTGGGGGGGGGGGGAATCCCCAGTGCCATGTTGCAAAGGAAACCAGCACACCAACTTGGAGGGTCCTTGCTTCTGACAAACAAGCAAACAAACAAGCAAGGAAGCAAACAAACAAACAAACAAACAAACAAACAAACAAAGCGAAGCAAAACAAAGAAACAAACAAACAGCCACACCCGGGCACCTTCCCATCCCTTGCTCCCTCCCCCCCCCGCCCGCGGGCCTCTGCCCTTGTCCACCTCGCAGAAGAACATGAGAGTTGTCCACTGGTCCTGCAACACGCCCCGACTGGCGACCAAATCCTTCCCGACCCCCGTTTTGGGTCTCAAAGGGAACCCAGAAACTTCCCAACCCTTGGTATGTGATCGCCAAGCCTCCGCCCTCCAAAGGCACACACGCACACACCAATATGTTGGTTGTTGCCATGGAGTCAATTTGGCCTTGTCGCGCAAGCCTGATGTGTTCACATGATATACAAGTGTGCTTTACCAATTGATATCGCACTTCTTCCACCCCCCCCCTTGCCCAAAGCGCCTGGAAATGAATCATCCGAATGCCTCATGTTGCAAAAGCGTTGTTCTTTGCCCCAAACTGGAAATGACAAGAAACAAAGAAGCACTCACTCCAAACCATGACTCCACGTGATCACTTGCTGCTTTTATACACCGTCATAAAACCAACCAGGTTGGAAGATTGCCGGGAAATGTTCACTCAGGTTCACCCAGAGGCCCTCTCTGGCCCAAGACACTCCAGCAGAGGTCGGAAGACTCCGCTCCGGTTGCCCCAAAGATGTGAGTTGCTGCTTTCTGTTGGCTTGTGTCTGTGTGTGTGTGTGTGTGTCAAAATAGGGGCACCGGGTCCCAAATGGTGACTGTCCCCCACCCCAAAAAGGGTATTCTGAACAATCACTCACTATTTATGGGGCCTCTATCCTAACTGGCCTATGGAATGGTTCCCATGGGAATCAGCATGATGGTTACCGGTTGAGGATCCTTACCAGGTGGATGATCAGCCCACGAAAACTTCCAGTTGCTTTTTCGCCTGGATAAATGAGAAAATACGTCCAGTAGTGCCATCGATTCCCTTTCAAACCAACAAGGGAAAACACTCAAAAAAAAGTAGTGGCGGATTCCCTTTACAATAACCAATGGATTTAGTTGTTAGTTTATTAAAAACAAGAACAAAAACAGCATTTCAGCGAATGGCAGGAAAGGAATCAGTTTTAATCTTTTTTATAAAAATAAAAATAAAAGATCAGATTCAACTATAATTTATTAAAACAAACAAGAAACAAAATCAGCAAAATGGCAGGACAGGAGCGCCCGGCCGGTTTTGTTCCGCTCCTCGATGCTGCGCAGGAAGTTTCCAGCACGGCCCGTGACGAAGCCGACCGCCTCCTGCGGCACCTGGCTTCGTGCTTCGTGCGTCGTTTTCCCTGAACCTCTGGCGGGGTGGTCCACCCCCGGACGAAAACATGCGACATCAGGCTGACTAGGGGAACAAATGAGTGCAGTCGGTTGGCTCGCAAAACTTAGAGCAACCACTGTAGGTTTCAGGCATACAACAGGGGAGCACAATAGTAAATTATACCAATCACCTTCCAGAATGAAGGGAAATGGATCATAAACCGTGATACCAAAATGGTTTATTCCCACATCCCTCTGAGTATTGAAAGGGGATTCTCACAAGGCATGACAGAAGGTGGCAACCTAAAAAAACAACTATTTTCCATACTTGCACCGGAAACAGGGGACACTAAGAAACTGGCCTTGCTTTTGATTGGCCGAGTTGAGTCTGGATATGCCCAAGTCCCAACCATTTTTTGAATAAGAACCATCGCAGCTCGAAAGCTTCGGCACTGGGGACTGGGGCCTCAATCAACCTGACGAAATCATGAACACCACGAGATGAAGCCATGCAATCTGGGTATCTGCAATGGCTGGGTATCTGCAACCATAAATCATGAAACCATAAGGTTTCTTGGTATCTGCAATCTACACGGGAGAAACGAGGATCATTGCAGGGTTCGGAAAGTGCGAAATGGATGACTCGCAACCATCCACAGTACCACTGAGAAAAGGAAAAAGTGGGGGATAATATTCATATCTAACTCAAACAAATGATCACATGCCTAGATTTCGGCCCCTTGCGAAGCTTAAAACCTGCAACGTCCGTGGCCTGTAGCAGGGTCAGGTCATCGTCATCATAGTCGTCGGTGACCGACACGGGGCCCGTGCCTACAGCGGAAACGCGCGGGCTAAACCCCCCGAGTCGCGTCTCAGACTGCGCTCCCTCAGGCCGATCCTGTTACTGGAACCAAGTCTTCCGAAGTCCTGGGAGCTTCCATGTTAGTCTGAAGTGTATGAATTCAATTTGGGGGGCCAGGTGTCCAACCACTTGTGAGGGGGTTCCCTGTTAAACTAAGATTCATACCCATATTGTGCCCCTTGCCTAGAGCCAATCACAATCTGCAATGACCGCATCCCTACGGTGGATGCTCTGAATATTGCAAGTAGAGACCCAGGCAGTTCTACCATTTTTTGCAATTTATCAGGATGGTATGGTTGGATGTCTTCCATTGATTAAGCCCCGTGGCAAAAATGAGAAAATATGTCCAGTGGTGATAGAATTCCTTTAACACCAGCAATGGAAGAAGAAGAAAAAAAGCATTGCCACCTTAGGCGAATTACAACTCCCCTCATTCCAGTCATCGAAGTCAAGTCGAGGGAAGACTGGTTCCCCCCTTTGTCCTCTTTGTTAGTTGAATAGGGTGAATATTGAAAGCAAAGCACACAAAGTGTGCCTGTTGGCTTTCCTTTAAAACCAGCAAAATCAACAGGCAGAGAGCCTGGGAGCCACAACACCTAGGCGGAATAGCCCAAGCCTATATACTGTGGGTGGACGAAATCATGAAAACCACGAAATGAAACCATGGTTGAAACCATAACGTTCCCTGGTATTTACAGGGAGTCATCATTCCAGGGTTCCTTCTGTGGTGCAAAATGTTGTCCATCCGCAGTATGTCCTGGGTAGACTGACTTAGTTGAGCCAACTTTGGCAGTCGCCTTCGTGCTAGAAGCTTGAGGCTCATTTCAACAAATACCTATTGACAGTTGATGATCAAAAAAAGATATGATCTTGAACCTGAGCTTGTGGGGGGCGGGGGTGCTGCCCACAAGATTCAAAGTCACCCTCCGATCTCGGGAAAGGACCTCAGTGACTTTGACGACCCTTTGGGTTCCCCTGGCGCGTGAAAGAAACATCTCAACCCATCGAGCCAATTGATGTCTGACCCAAAAAGGACGCTGTCAGATCTTTCTTATCTAAAACCGGAGCAACCGATTTCTTTTATCCGAAAACTAAGCTCAGGACACCTATGCCGACCTCTTGAGACAGAACTAAAGCCCAAAGCCCAGCTATCGGACTCTCTCATAGGGGCAACCAGAGGGTTGCTTCGGCTTTCCTTGGGCTTTTTGTTTAACAGGAAAAACAAAAAAACGCCGCCCCAAAACAGGAAAAAAGGGGTGAGAATCCTGAAACCAAGACGTACATCCGGTTCCCTTGCACCCCAGGCATGGGATTCTGCAGGCGCCGCTGGGCCCCTGGCGCTGTGCCATCACGCCCTCGCAGTACTTCTTCGCGCGCTTGCGCCTCGGCTCCCGCATCGCCGAAGGCTTCGGCCGGCTTTTGCTAGGTCCTCCGGATTTGAGGGGTCAGAAGAAGTTGGTGCCCAACTTTTCCTGTAGTCTTTTTGTAGAGGTTAGAATAAGTTGGTACCAACCTTTTTTTCTGTTTTGTCTATTTTTGTAGGGGACCCTCATCTCCCCCCAAAAAGCAACGGTAAAAGGGCACTACTGGGGGACCTAGTTTTCGATTCTGCTGCCGGCCGCCCCTTTTTTGGGGGGGACAGGGACACCAACAAAAAAAGCGAAAGCCAATTTGGGGTCCTGGTCAAAAAGGAAGCTTGACGTTGATTGTCTGTAGCGTCTATGAAGAGGTTGACGCCCATCACTGATACCAAGTAAAGGGGCTCTTTCACCATGGCACATGTGGGGTCCGCGTTGTTGAAACGGGTCTTTTGATTCACCACGTGGGGAATGTGTATTCCGTATCTTCTCACATGTGGGCGGCTGAAACCCAATGAAATCTGTTCAAACCCAAGGAAGACGCCTTTTAGGAGGCTTGAGGCAAAAACCCACGCATGAGGCTTGAGACCCCGTCCCACAAACCCTTAGGGTTGGAGGCGGTCCTCTAACTTTCGAGGCTGGGGGTCTTGGAAAGGACCTTTCCCTCCCCCTCCCACCCCCTCTCCTCCCCTCCCCCCTCCCCTCCCCTGTTGCGCGTGGAAAAGGACCGGAGGTCGCCCCAAAGAGCGGCTCGGGGAAAGCGACGAGTCGAGCTCTTCCCGCGGAAGTTCCGCGGTGGCGGTTGCAAAAGTTCGCTTCGGCCGAAGCTCTGCATCTTGGAGCCCCGGATCTCCAGGATCAGGTCGCGCTCGAAGAGCTCGATCTCCGCCTCACTGCCAGCGCTGCATGCAATGTGGACGATTTTTTTGCTGCTGCCGGTCCCTGGAGTCTCCTTCTGACCCAGTAAAAAATGGGGTCATTGCCCAAAATTGAAGGGCTATGACCCCTTTTTCTAGGGGTCATGGAGACTCTAGGTATTTACAGGGGAAAAAAAACATCATTCCAAGGGGGCGGAGCGGCGCTTTTTCGCGAGGCATCGAGTTCATGCTGGGAAAACAGAAAGCACCGGTAGAAAGACGCTAAACAGGGATTGCAAAAGGAAGGGGTGGGGGGGGGAGGCATAATTTTCAGATGCCACCCAAGAGAACAAGTGGGAAACTCGGCAACTAAGCTGCTCACTTGGAAGCCGTGAGGAAGCAAACCCCAATTGGTTTGGCCTGATTTGGACCTTCCGCAATTGTTTCTAGCAAACCAAGGGTTCAACTCTCCAACCACCAATACAAACCATCAATTACTTCTTGGGAGCCCAACAAGACAGCCTTTCTGCTGGAAGTTGAGGCTGTTCTTGGCAGAAAAAAATGAAAGTCGAGCAGGCCAAGTGCACGTTGTGTAAACATGCAGGGTATTCGTACAGGGATGATGCAACAGTACCTCCCGACTATCCTCAGGATGCAAGAATGCAGGGTGGCCGTGCTGTGGGAAGGGTTTCGAACAGCGACACAGCACCAACCCCCATCTGTCCAATAGATCCTGCCCGTCGTTGCCTCAGCAACCTTTGCAATCTTCTCCTGCACAGGTCGGGTCATCTGTCCGTGATACCCTAGATGACCTTCGGCGTGCAATCACCTTCGGGTTGCATCAGCCCGCCTGAGAGAGGCACAGACAAGAGCCAAATCAAGGTGAGCCAGCCACCCTGATCGTCTCAAACATGGTTCTTGCCTTGGGCATGTGTGAAAGTATCCAAGACCCCCAAGAATGAGTGCAGCCAGGTCTTCCGCGGCCTTTGCATGTGAGACTCAGGCCTTGGTCTTGCCCCCTTTGCCCAGGATAAAGGCGGCGTCGTCGTCGGTGATCTTCAAGGTGTCCACGCCGTAGTCATCCTCAGGCAACAGCTACACTCCATTGAAACAAGCCGGACCCAGGGACCCAGGGTCCCAGCGATCCGGATGCAGGACAAACACCGATCGAACATTGCAACTTGTAAATGGTGGTGTCAAACCTTTTTTCTTTTTTTTCGGTGTTGAAAAAGCCAGCCATGTTTCAAATGCTTGTAAAATGGAGATCTTTTAAGGAGCCCTGCCAGACTACCATATGTGCATCCACAACTTCCCGAACCATCTACCATCGAAGGCACCTCAAATCCCCACTAAACCCCGAAGTTGAGGGGCTGGGCTCGTTTTCCTGTCTTAGGAGTGCGAGGTGGGCCACTCACATGGTGGGGAGACGGAGAAGGTGTCAGCAGTAGCCCGAAGCCGGGCTGGGACATCGATGGCGCTAAATAGACGAAACAAGCCCCCGGGCAAAACAAGCAGTTGCGAGAAAAAAAAGAAAAACAACTTAAATGTGGTATCCAGAAATACAAAAAACAAAACATGAAGCATCCCACCCCTGCCATTTCATTAAAGATAACAGGGATGCGGGTTCTAACAGACCTCACGAAATAAAGTTTGAGGAATCCCCGCTGGACAATCCGAACGACCATAGGTGACCCCTGGCAAGTGGAATAAAACCAATCTAAACAAGTGGAACCCATCTATTTCTAACCCAAGTAGCCTGAAGAGCACAGCTATGACAACAACTCCAACAACTCTTCCTCAGCCAAGTCTGGTGCTTCTTGACCAAGCTTCGGGTCGCTTCTGCCGTCCCCCGCCGCCGCCGCCGCTGCGGCTGCGGCTGCGGCTGCGCTCACGGTTCTGGCAGCGAAAAAGAAAAATAAGAGACGGAACCGCACCGGGTGTCGAAATTAGAGGCCATCCACCCTTGGCTGGAATGGGGGCCCCGGCAAAAAACGATACATGTGTTTGCCTGGTTAGTGAAGAAAAACAAAGGGGGCCAAAAAAACACTATATATATAAAGGAGAGCTAATTCTGGGGAAGCCACAAGATTGGATTCCCTCTGATGCACCAAGAGCTATTTCACAGGTGACAGTCTCTGGCAAGCAATAGCTGGGTTTCCCTGGTAGGTGGATCCCAATCTAAACCAGTGGAACCCATCGATTTCCGACCAAAAGATCAAAAGATCAAAAGGACGCCTTGGATTCCTTCTGGTGCACTGGTCGTGGAGACGGACAGCAGTCCTCCAGCTATTTTGACCCTTGCCCCTCGCCTAACACAGGGTAGGAAATTCAATTAGACCCTTTGGGGGATATCCCCTTTGAGGGATATGTGTCCCCCTAGATGTCGTTGCCTTTTTGAGGCTCGTACCTCTTTTGATGTTGGTGTACAGGGCAATCAAAAAGAAACCAAAAGAAAACAGATCATCCAAGGATTCCCTTGAACTTCATATCCCAAGGCTCTGCAGCATTCACATCCCAAAACCTGATTCAACCTTGCCCCCCCCCCCCCCCACCCCGTCCCCGCCTTTGGGCTGCGGCCCCTGCTGTCGCTGCGCGGCATCTCAAAACTAGCGAAGAGCAAAAATTCCGCTGGACCGCGGAAGACTCCGAAGCCCCCGGGAGAATGTCGGATGACTCGCCTTAGCTTCCTTCACCTTGGGCTTAGTGGGGCACCCGGGGCTCGCGAGCTGCTCAACGCCCCTCCTGGGAACCAAAGGAACTGCCGGCGCGAAGTGAGCGAGTGAGCGCGCGGGACACTCCGGCCAGCCGGGAGCAAACACGCTGGCGGGATTTATATTGTACATAGGGGGGCCCTGTCGACATCAGTTTCGGATTTATGTCCACCAACCACTTTCTTCGGTTACCCGTGGGTGGACATCAGTTAGGGTGGGAGTTGTGTCCAGCCACTTTCAAGAAGTTCCCCTACTCAAATTTCAATAGCCATCCAAGCAAGAAATCAGTTCGGTTGGATTTCATGTCCACCACTTTCAAAGGCTTCCCCTACTAAAACTCCACAGCCATCCAAGCCCTTGCCAATGGGATTTCACTGCGATAGGGGATGTCACTCGCAAGAAACCGCTGATGCGCAATCCGTGTCCCTCGCCAGTCCACGGCTCCGCAAACGCGCGGAGCCATCGGGTCGTCCGCTCGCCCCTCAAAAACATCCATGTTGACCCTATCGAAAAATCAACCAACCGGTTTCTCAATAGGGCGTGGTCTTGACCCCTCCAAAAGCGGGCTGATTCCAACCACTCAACCCAGAAATGGACACCCACCTATTCATACACTGGAGCTGATGAATATGCAGTCAACATTACAGGTTTGCTCACCTCATATTTACCCCACGACTAGAACCAGAAGAATCGGTGGGCAACAAGGGAAGCCTTCAAACAGATCCAGCACCCTGACCTATCTCGAAAATCTGTGTGTCCATTGGGAGAAAACCATGGAAAGCCGCCACTCGCTCTTCGCTTTGCCCCCAAACCCCGGCCACTTTTGCATGGCCCTCGGACTACCTCAGATTTCGGAGAAAAAACACACACACACACACACACACACACACACACACACACACACACACACATTTGGTCAGAATTCGAACCTCAAAATGTGAAGCAATGTCAAAAGAGATCCAAGTATAGATAGAAGCACCTCCCTGGCCTGCCAAAAAAACACGCCTCTCCCCCCAAAAACCGCAAGGTCGTCTCGGCGAGCGCGCCCTTTTCCGACCGAACGGATGGACTTGAGGGCTGCCGCCTGATCCAGCACCACCTCGAAGCTGGACAGCATCTCCTCAGATGTCTAGGGGTTGATTCCCCATTCTTTTCAACCATCGTTCTTTTCAAAAACCAGCTGTTTCCCTTTGGATTCAGCTGGTTTTCTTAAAAGAAGGATCCCTGGAAGGAATGGGGAAGTGTCCCCTAGAAGATGGAAAACCTGTCTGGGACCTCAAAAGATGCCATGGCTGCATGCTGATCGCCACGGGCGGTGCCCTCCATCTTGAGATGTTCAACACAAGGCCATAGTTCTTGCTTCATTTAAGATGGTCCTGAACTAGTGGGTCCACGCAAATGGTGCAAGCATCAGTGGTGTCCTGGGACAAACCTATCAAGAAGCAAGAAACGGCGCCCGAGCCCAGGGTTCCCTTCCTACATTCACAACTGGAAACAAGCAGCCAACACATTCGGAACAGCAAAAGCACCAAACGGAAGCTCCCAAAATCACCAAAAAAACAAAAAACGCCCCAAACCACCCAACTCGCGGCGGTTTTTCTCACCGCCAACACCCAAAACCACTGCCTCCACCCCCCCCCCTCCACCCACCCCCCCCACCCCCCTCCGGCCGCGCGGCCACGTAGGCCACCGGCTGCCGCAGCTCGAGGCCCAGCGCGGCCTCCGCATCCGCCGCGCGCAGCAGCGCCAGGAAGTCCTCACGACCAAAACGACCCACGCCACGAACGCACGCTTGGAGCTCCCAGGCACGGGCCCCGAAGTTCCAGCGGCCGAATTGTGGACCCGCAGAAATATAACTTTGGGTTGTTTTTTGGTTTTACCATGTTTACCCATTTGACCCGCAGAAATGATGGTTGAAACCACCTTGCTTGGTAGTTACGTTGAAGCGAATCATTTCAGGGTTTCTTAGGTGAGTCAACATAAGAACCAAGGAACCGACCGCAAATGTTTGCCCGTGGTTTGCCATTTACCGGGGCAAGCCATTTTGAGGCTACCCAATTTTGACCCGCAGCCATATAACCACCATTCTTTACCTAAGGATTGTCATCATCCAAATTGGGTCCTTGCCATTCTTTTAATCAGGTTGAAGCTAGGGGGCCCTTTGGGCTGTAACACCCCCCTCCGGTTTCACAGCTTGGGGCAATGAAAACTGAGAAGTCCATTAGGAAAGGTGGAAAATTGGGGTTACAGTTTTTCCTTGAGAAATCAACTAGGAAGGGTTGTACCCGTTCTTCCCTTGAGAAATTAGGAAACCCAGCAGGGCCTTAAAGGCCCTAGTTTGTTTGCCATAAAGATTGGTGCCATTTCCATAATTAGACGATGGGCACCCAGGAATCGATCCCTTCTTTGGTTGAGAAACCATGGTCAACAGACCAACAATAAATGGCACCCAATCAATAAGCTAGAGGGTTCATACTTCACCAAGACGTGGTTGCTTTATTTGCCCCGAGTTCTTGCGATGTCAAGACTCATTTCTGTTCTGCTGTCTTAAGCCGTTTCACATCACCGGGCGAATCCGATCGACATTCCCCCTGTCTAATCCCCCTCCCCGCGCAATGTTGAAGTTGATGGCTCGAGGGGAACCTTGGTGTTAAGTTAATAATGGGGTCACAACAGGTGGGTTGGATTTTCTCGGTCTAAGTTTGGTATTGGTAATTGCCCCATGACTAGACCATAATGAATGGTTACTCAACCAGTAAACTAAGGCTCCACACTACAAGTTCAGTTGGGTGTTGCCAAAGTATAATAACGCTAATTACGTTAGCCAGAAAGCGACGATTCATTCAACCCGGGACCCTGCCTAATTAATGTTGCCAACCTGCGACCACACAAAAAGCCGTCTATCATAAATCGTTCGCAACCATGAACAATCTGGCATGATGCTAGGAACAGGCTATTTTCTATTGATGAAAAGCCTCGCGACCGGTCCCTATCCGCTAGATGTCTCGCTAATCAGCTGCGAGATGTCTGCTGCGAGACTCCCAACCCGATTTCTTTTACGCTACGAATGGGTTCCTGGGGTCCTTGTTCTCTCCCATTCATAAGGTGCCATATATCCCTGGCAAGTGGATGCGAGCCAGTGCTTGGAAAGGCGTTCAAATGGCCAGGACTTGACTTGTGATTCAATTCCGGCCACCCGCGCAGAGCCAATGAGCCAAGGCAACCAACCCAGAACCAATAGCAACCCCAAACCAAATCATCAAACAACCGACTAAACCTAGAATCTAGAACCAAAAAAAACATAGAACCAATCAAATAAGCCAACCTGGAACCAAAAAAAGCGCCTGGAACCAAAACCAATCCACCGAAACCAAAGGCAACTCTCTCCGGTTTCGCCTCGGGCGCCACCTGGCCGCTGCCTTCATCCAGACTGCGGCAGCCCCGTAGCAGGGCCTGGCTGAATCCGACGGACTGCGCGGGTTGCGAAACCGCAATGGGTTGCAACCCAAAGGGCCCAGGCTCAACCCAACCGTTAAAAGAATGGCAAGGACCCAATTTGGGTGATGACGATCCTTAATGGTGGTCATATGGCTGTACCGAGATGGTGGACCCCATATGGCAGTGGTTATCATGTGCCTGGAGAAGACTTCGATTTCCTGGGTTTTACAGTTGGAGACAATCACTTGGCTGTGGTTGTCAAAAATAGGGTAACCCCGAAATGGCTCAAGCCCTTGGAAATGGAAACATGGACGATTTAACCTGCGTTTGTTTTTTTCTGGTGGCTTAATTTTGACTCATACCCATATGTATCAACCCCAGTTCATGAACAGGGGGGGTGCTTTTCCCTGGGTTTAGGGAGAAGCAAATGCAAAGGGTCTATATAAGCTGATCGCTTTCCATCTTCCTTTTTTTGCGCTGTCCACATGAAGAGATGGTACCACGCAGAATCATCTCTTTGGGAGGGGAACACCCCCCTACTACACCTGGCCTCGCGGTGCTCCAGGATGGCGCAGGCCGTGCGCTGCGATACCGGCGTCGCGCTCGAGTCCTCCGCCTGACGGTTGGCCAACAGATCGGGACCGGGACCTGGGGAAGACGAAGCAAGGTCTCAAAACGGTCCTCGAAACGTGCAAAAGTCAAACAGTTCTTAAGACCTGCTCTAAATAAGATCATATTTTGAATTGTATTTTACTGATAATAATCATCATCAGCATAATCATAATAACAAATATAGACAATCATAACAAGAAGAAACCTGCAAGCTGAGCAATGGACAGGCCTCCAGCTCTGGCCCGTCTCGCAAGCCCCTCGCCAGCTCCAGGAAGGACAAGGTGCCTGCATCTGAAGGCAAGGCAAATTCTGGGTGTGGCTCAAAACCAAAAAGCTCCTGTTTGGGGGAGGGGGTGGGGGGGGATCAAAGAGCTAGGGCAAGCCGCAGCTTAAGTCTTGGGCTCCATTTACCAAAGAGCCATTTTGGTACATGTGTTTGAGCCACAGCAACTTTTGCTCGCTGTCGCCAAGTCGCACTTTGTCGAAATGCCTTGGGCCCTTGAAGATGAACCCTCTTCTTTTTTCTAGCTGGAAGCTACGGGAAATCGGTCTCCCAAAACCTATGGCTCGGAGCAAGTGAGCTTCTTTTTTTATTTGTCTTCCCTTGACGGTTGGATCATATTCGCGAGCACCAAGTTGCTGGGTGTGTTGTCAACCTTCAAGGGGGTCATCCCAACTAGTACAGGACTTTGTCCATCCACGGTATGGTAGAGGATAGTTGAGCAAGCTGGGCTTTCAGAATGCAAACAAATGGAGCCAGGCGAGGACTGACTTCCAATGACGCCTCCCCACGTTGCCCCCAAAACCCTTGCATTAAAATTGAACAGTTGATCAAGGAGACATTCGCTAAAATGTAACGGAACATGGATACAAGCCTCACTCATATGTGCAAACTGCGGAAGATCTAAAACACATGAAACGCACTAGAGGAATGGTCCCTTGAGGAAAATGATGGTCCAACCAGGACCCCCCCCCCGCGGCATGCTCCATGTTAGTGGGTGGGAGGGTCAACCGGAGAAAGGATGGGGTGGGTCCCCAAGCAACCATGTTGTCTTCCAAACGGGTCTCAAATAGGGTCCCCCAAAAAAGAAACGTGTTTTTTTGTGTCCCTTTAACACAACCCAAAAGAGGGTTCCATAAACAACAGCCAAACGGAAAATGGAAGTAAATGAGAAGGTTCCCCCCGCAGTTCTCTCTTGACGCGGGCTCGCATTCAGAGCACAAGGCTCGAAAATTGGCTGCCGAATTAAAACAAGAGCAACAAAGAAACGATGTTTGACAGCTGTTTATCAGAGTTTGTGCTTTGACACCTTCTGCCTTTTGCCACCTTGGCTTTGATAGACATACCTTCACGCTGGCCAAACGATCGGATGCTGCTTGGGCTTTCTGTGCCCACTGCCGTATGTCTTCTTCAACTTGCAAATGTTGGGGCTGCTCTTTCGCAATGCGCCACCACTTCAGTGTTTCAACCACAGCCGAAAGGTGGGGTCACTGGATTTCCCTTCAAAAGTTGTGGTTTCGATTGAAGCTGCCACTTTTGGTGGTTGCAGAAAACTTGCTGGTGCTCAGTAGGGAATGTGGGAATGAAATCAGGGCTCACCTTTTAAGGAAACCCTGCCGAGACTTCCCCCCCTTTGCGCCTGAGTTGTTGGCATCCAGCTGCTCAGCCAGATCTCTGAGCTGGTTCTGGTTCAGCCCCGGGCGCCTTGATTCAACATGGGCCAATTAGGGAACAAACAAACAACGCGCGGTCGCCTCACAAACGCGCGCGAAAACGCCCACGCTTACCCTGCGTTTACAGGGGGATTTCACAAACGGCTTGAAAAATCACTGGCAGTTCACACAGATGGAGCCCATCGCACTTTGTATCCTTGCAAACAGGAAAAGTCTTTGGGGCCAAAGCCCAGAACGTTCTTGCGCTCTTTGCTGTGCCGAGCAAAGCACTGCAAAAGTGAGACCAGGCCGGGCTTTTCCAGCAACCTCTTGGAGGCATACTGGATTGCTCTTGAGCGGGTGCGCTTACCATGTGGCTGGGCGTGGCTGCAGTGCTGGGCAGCTGCTCTTGAGCGGGTGTGCTTACCATGAGGCTGGCATGGATACAGTGCTGAGCGGGCGCTCTTGAGCAGGTGTGCTTACCATGTGGCTGGCACGGATACAGTGCTGAGCGGGTGCTCTTGAGCGAGTGTGCTTACCATGTGGCTGGCATGGATACAGTGCTGAGCAGGTGCTCTTGAGCGGGTGCTTACCATGTGGCTGGCATGGATACAGTGCTGTGCGGGTGCTCTTGAGTTGGGCGGGTGTGCTTGCCATGTGGCTGGCATGGATACAGTGCTGGGCGGGTGCTCTTACCATGTGGCTGGCATGGATACAGTGCTGAGCGGGTGCTCTTGAGCGGGTGTGCTTACCATGTGGCTGGCATGGACACAGTGCTGGGCAGGTGCTCTTGAGCGGGTGTGCTTACCATGTGGCTGGCATGGATAGAGTGTGTGCTTACCATGTGGCTGGCATGGATACAGTGCTGGGCGGGTGCTCTTGAGCGGGTGTGCTTACCATGTGGTTGGCAGTGCTGAGCGTGGGTTCTGCTTGAGCGGGTGTGCTTATCATTGGCCAGCATGTGTGCTGCTTGGGCATGGGTTCTCCTTGAGCGGGTGTGCTTACCATTTGCCACCATGTGTGCTGCTTGGGCATTGGTTCCGCTTGAGCGGGCGTGCTTGTTGTTGGCCACCATGTATGCTGCTTGGGCATGGTTTCTGTGCTTATCATTAACCACCATGTGTGCTCCTTGGGCGTAAGTTCTGCTTGACCGGGCGTGCTTATCATTGGCCAGCATGTGTGTGTGTGTGTGTGTTGCTTGGGCATGGGTTCTGCTTGAGCGGGTGTGCTTATCATTCGCCAGCATGTGTGCTGCTGGAGCGAAGCGGCAGGCGACATGCTGAAACGATGTGAACAAATACATTGGACGCTTGCCGGGAAGACACACTCGATCCCTGTGAATTACCATAGTTTTAGGGCTTCTTGCGTCCGTGCCAGTGGGGAAAGCGCGCTGTGGGGCGCGCGTTGACGCGACGACGGAGCCACAAACAAACATGGCCGAGGGTCCTCATTCAATTCCCCCCCCGCCCTCCCCCAAACCCTCCCAATCCTCGCCTCCAACCTTCCCAATCCTCGCCTCCAACCCCCCTCCAACCCGCCCAATCACCCCCCCCCCTTCATGGAATCCGAGCCTGGCGACGATGCCGCGCATCTGCTCCAAAAAACCGCCCGGCGACCTCGGGGGGGGTCCGGTCCTTGCGAAACATTGGCGGCGCGTGCCCTTTGTTGGGGCTTGGGAAAGAAGCCAACCAGCAAAAAAGGGCCTGGGACTCCCAGTACCCTCTTGGTGGAAACTGCCCCCAAATGATATCTTGAGAACCCAAAAAAACTATCTCTCTCTCTCCCTCTCTGTCTCCCGGCTTGACAGCTTTGTTCCAAGCAAGCAGGGGGACTGAGTAGTTGGCCGGGCGGCATCCCCGTTTGGCTCCCCGGAAAACTAATTACCCCCAACCTGCTCTACCAAAAAAAATACCTCCAAAGACAAAACGAGCGGCCCCGGGGTTGGGCAACCACTGGCCACCTTCTTCTTCACCTGTGCTACGGCTCAAAATGCATCCAAGCGGCCGCTGGTCTTTGTGTTCCATTTCTCAGGGCAATTTTGGGGTTAACCATTTTCGACCCACAACCATGCACCGGGCCCAAAGGGCCACCAGCCCAAATCCAACCCATCCTCACCGGGCGGCTCTTGCACCTGCCGCAATCCCTGGACCGCCTCCTCGATCGAAAGGACCCCATCGCAGTCCTGGCGCAGTCGGCAGGCTGGGACCAATGTTCGCGAGCGGGAGACATGGAATGACGCCCAACTCAAAACCATCCATCCCCGATTTGGTTTCCTTTAAGGAAGCTTCAGGTTCATTCCCTCATTCCCTGCTGAGCACCAGCAAGAATCTGCGGTTTCAAACAAGTGGGTCTCTGTGTTTTCTACCAGTTGGCTTGGTTTTGAAGGAAGGCCCTATTTGGAATTTTGAGACAAACCCAAGTGAAAACATGTGTTTGAACAAACCTGCGGTGTCCCTCCCTCTCTGGGCTTGCCATTCAGCCTCACCAGATCCACCCGTATCGATTCTTGCTACCGGGACCCAACAAATCGGCGGCTTCCCTTCGGTTTCCTTCTAAACTAACCGCGGAAACAGTAACGTCAAAGAAATAACACAAGTAAGGGATCCCCCGTAGACCCCTTACAAAAGCAAATCCCCTGCTCTAAAACCAAAAACATCGCCAGAAGGGATCCCCACCAAACCCGAAAACCCGCAAACCCCCCTCACCCTCGTCCCCTCGTCCCCTCGTCCCCTCATCAAAGGCCTCATCAAAGGCCTGGAAGAACCTCAGCAGCGCCGTGTAGGGCGAGCCATCCGAAGGCGCGGCCCATCGCAGCAGGCCTCGGCGCGCTTGCGATCGGTGCGAGACGTAGGGAAGGAGTTGCATGGAATGAACCCGCTTTGGGATTCCCGAATATAGGAAACCAAAAGGGGACATGGATGGCTTTTCGTTCGGGGTCATTCCAATTCTCCTTCCCTGCTCGCACCGGCAAGAAAGGAAACCACCTACATGGCCTCTCAATGTTTGGGGCTCGGTACCCTGAACGTTGGTTTCAAGAGCTGACAGGAAGACCGCCATTCTTTCGGGGGTCTTTCGGGAGTTGACTATAAATGAACCCTGTGGAAGGGCTCTTTTCGCCACAAATCATTCGATGCGACTGAACCTCAAGCGAGTCATAACGACCACCTGGCCGCCGAACCCAAGTACGGCTGGGACCGTCTGCTCGCCTCATCTATCCAGGCGCATTGCTTGTGGCTCATTCGGTGGTTTGGAATGGTGGTTTCAAGATGGACCCCCAAATTTGCGTGTCTCTTGGGGTGAATCAAGAACCAGGGGTGCAAATCCTCAAACCGGCAATCCGAGCTACCACGTAGGAGGTCCCTTGACGAGGCAAATCGTCTAAATCAGGATCCCCAGTCAGGATCCCTTGCAACCTGTGGGATGGAAGAGACTGGTGGAATTCTTTGCGTCTGCGCGTTCGTGATTTCAATGGGGAGGGGGTAGCGCAGAGCCAGAATCGCGATGGAAAGATTGAGGCAGTGGTCGGATTCTGCCGCAACCGCACCGTCCATCAGCGACCTTCAGGGCTCCCTTTGGCCCGGATTCATTGGGTAGAGAGCGCCTGCTATTCGGCTTGTGTCCCACCTACTAACCCTCTTCTCCACCGGCGACAAGGACTGAGGGTGATAAACAAGCCTTGGGCTTCAACTGAAGAAACTCGACGCTGGATTTGTGCTTCAGACATCGCGCCGCTTCGCATTGTGTGGCTCTTGTGTTCTCCTTCAGTGGCCCTCTGCATGTGCCACTGGTCTGGCAGCAAGCCTCTTTGTGCTCCTGTAGGAAAGGATAGCCCTATGCGTCCATGTTTGTTGAAAAGAATATCCTTTCGTGTCCCCTTTGGGTTCCACGCTCGCGTTGCGGGATTCATGGACGCCCCCTGGAGCTGACCCACGTGGATCTTTGCACCTAAACATCCTAAACCCAAAATTGAGTGATTTCCCCCAACAGGGAAACCCTGGATGGGCGGTTCAAGTCAACCTTGGGGTCCGAACATGTGCCCGCGTCCGCCCGTCTCCACTCGCGCCAAAGGTCCCTCCCGCAGCGGGCGGCACTCCGCGGCGGCGCCCTCCAACCTCCGCGGCGCGAAGCGCAGCAGGCGGTCGATGATGGCGGCGAAGCTCAGTTCCTGCCATCGATCGCTGCCATCGATCCGCGGGATTGACCCCCGGTTTGCTTGGAGCGAAAACCCAAAGGAAGCCAAATGGGGCTTCTCGTCGTTTTTTGGGGTACCCCTCAAAAAGGCGGGTTTTAAGGTTGGGAACTAGCGGATGCGGCCACCGTCACCCAGGAAAAGCCATGGTTCAGGGCTGTGGTTGAATTGGAATCCACTTCCGTGACACAACAAAAAGACCTTCCCAAGACGAACCCCCTTTTTCTAGAGGGGGAGATTCCCACAAGTATCACAGAAGTGGAGATAAACCCCTTGTCCGCGTACGTCAGCTGTGTGTGGGTAAGCCTTACCCAGAAAAGACCATGGTTGCTGACATAGGTGCTCCCGTTTGTGATGATCGCATTGGTTGCCTGCCATCGAAACGCCCTGGTTGGTCTCCTTGAAAGGTGGGTCAGAACCAGGCTTGCTAACCACTTACCTGTAAGTGCCAGGCCGACGCTTTCTCGACTGCAGCAGTAACTATAGTGAACCACAGGGACCCATGGGGAATTTCGGGGAACCTTGGCACCAAATAGGGAACCATGTTTATCACAGAAATGCTGTTGGTAGGGCGCAACACCAAGGGTGACATAGTCATAGTGATGGCCAACCATACTGTGGATGACAAAATCCTGCAGTCCGGATGGATGCTGCAAATAAAATGGGATAAGTCACCGATCATCTGGTACACGATGTTGCTGTTTGTTTTGCACAGTATGGGGAACCCCCGAAATAGGTGGTTTCCTTTGCTGTCCCTTTAAAAACCAACCAACCGACCGACCAACCAACCAACCCAACCCAACCAACCAACCAGGGGTCCTAAACATAGACAAGCCCATGCGGTTCCCTTCCTGTTGGGAAACCGGAAGTTCACCAAACTCTCGGGACTTGGCGCTCAGAAGCCTGGGGCAACCCTACCCCGGACGCTTCGGGTCTTCCATAGGAAAGCAGTCCGAAACCCTTCAAGAAATTGAGCTTCCATGATTGTTTGCCGGGTATCTGAGGGGCATTCTTTGGGGTATAATTCCTGCATAGCTCCAGCTATGGTTATAGATAATATATATATATATATACACATGTGTATCACATATCATATAAAGCGGAACAATTAGGGGTACACCCAAAACGGTTGATGACATCAGTCCTTCCTCGTGCTTTGCAGAAAAGGTATAAAGTGGGTCCTTGCCTACTGGAAAACTCAGGCCGGTAGAGAACACCGGACTTCCACGCCGAAAGCCGAAAGCCATGCTTGGGGGATTGGTGGGATGGATCCGTCCCATTGGAGCCAGCGGATGACACACACGAGTTTCTCGGTTGCGAACTCTGCTAAAAGTTTAACTTTTAGTGACCTCCATGCTGCCCGGTTAGCTCGCCGGCCTGTTGTTTAATGGAAAACCCAATAGTTGGCAAAAAGCTTGACGTCCTAACATCCCTTGGCAAAATGCACCAAATAATTGGAAGTGGGAACAATGTTCACTGCCCAAATAGGGCAATGTCAAGCATTCCCACTACAGAATGGCCCAAGGGCTTCCTTTCAGGCTCCACGTCCCTTTCTCTCCTCCGCCCTGCCTGCCCCTCGGGCGCAATCAAGGAGCCTAGGTGCTGGGCTCGCTCCTGAGCAAGCGAATTGAACCCGTGCGCTTCGAGCTGTACCCGTGCGGTCCTTTTAGGTGGCAGTCCTTTTATTCTTTGACTCGGGATCCATAACCTTTGTGCTCCCTTTCAATGGCTTCCCGAGCAACACACACAAATGGCTGCGCACCACTTTGAAGCCATGGTTGAAACCATTCTTGGTGGGTATTTGCAGGGGATCATCAGCAACCAGGGTTTCTTGGATGAGGCGAAGTGGATTTCGTCCATCCACGGTACGAGATACGCAAACAAAAACATGCTTGCTTGCTCCAGGACGGTTGCAAAGGCTTCGTACCTTTGCCGGAAAAGTTGAATGGACCTCATTTTGTTGGCTGCCTCAAATTAAATGGGATTGGAAACCCCAGAAAATGATTGGCTTCCCTTTAGCTTCCTTTTCGGGACAAAACCCGACAAAACCAACAAGTTCACCCTCCAAAAAGCTATGCCTATGAGCCGTCAGAACCGAGCCTCCCATGTGAGGGAGCTTCAAAAAACGAACGGCTCCCGAATTCAGAACCTGCCCTCCAAACGTCTTTAGCATAAACATAGGTGGTCTTTTGCAAAAATTAGATGGCCCTGGTAAATGGAATAAACCCCATCTAAACCAGGAATCGCCCTCTATTTTTTAAAGCAAGCCAACCACAAAGGACACCTATGAGCACAACAAAGCCACAGGATAAAACAAGAACCCCCACCCCACCCCCCACCCCCCACCCCCCACCCCCCACCCCCCACCCAAAAAGAAAAAACTCGCCGGCGCCCTCTCCTCTGACAGCCCCGGCTGCAGCAGCTGCATCGCCTGCTGCAACTCCTGGCGCCGCGAGAAAACAAATTCTCGGCGCCTCCGGGCGGCCGAGTTCGAGGAAACCCCCGCAACACCATTATTTTCCAAGGGGGTTGGGGGTGGGGGGTGGGGGGTGGGGTGGGGGTTCTGGTTTTTTTCCCTGTGGCTTTGTTGTGCGCACTTCCCGCGTGGACCGCCAAAAAAAACATCGTCCCCAAGCTGTTTATCGAGCGGACGGCCGGGAAAGAAAACAAGTCCCCAAACTTGATGTTGTTTTTTTACCACCAAAATGGTTGGTTTACCGCTAAGACTTGCGATCGGCGCGATAAGTATAGGGAAGGTGGGAATGAACTCAGGCTTTGGCCCCGGAGGTTTTTTTTTGGGGTCATTCCAACTCTCATTCCCTGCATCGCTCGCAGCAAGAACCTGGTCCAAACCCAAGTGACGAAAGTCCGAAACTTTCGAACTCGTCGGAACTGAGGCTCCGAGGCTCCGAAGCCATTTGGCTTCCGGCAGAGACCAAAGCTAAACTTTGTGGGAGCAAAAGGAAGGGGGGAAACCCGGTGGAGTCAGGGCAGCTGCGGTCAGGGTAGCACATTAGACTTCTGACCTGCAAACTTGCCTCAAAGCTCGGGTCTACTTGGCAATGCACCCGAGGTTCCAACTAGATGTTCAAGCCATAAAACATTGGCTGCTCCACCAAAAGAAAACCATGACATGTTTTTTTAGCTAACCCTTTGGACAATTGTAAGAGCCTCTGATCTGCAGTAACAACAGTCCTCTGGCGCTGGTCAGTGCACTTTGGAAAATACCTTTGCAATTGACAAAGCGCGAAAAAGGTCGTCGCATCTTTCCGCCACGTGGATTTCAGCCTGCAGGGCCGCAGGTGCGCCTTTTTTGCCATGGCGGGTTTGAGGGTCGCAGACGCGACTCTGAAGGGTCGTGGGTGAGGTCTGTCAGGGTCTCGCGAGTTGGGCCGTGGGGACTTCTCTGGTGGGTTCCTTGGGAGGGGGAAGAATCGTGGGGCAAAGCAGGCTCCAACATGCCATCGGTTCTCCGGGAATGAGAATTGGACCGACCCTACAAAAAACCAAACCAACCTCCCCGCACCCCCCCCACCCCCCACCCCGGCCCACCCACCACCCCACCAACCCCCCCCACCATGGACCCCTCCACCCGGAGCCCTTGTCATTTGCTTCCTATCGCACCAAGCTACACCCGTCCTGCGGGGACACCAGGCCATCTTGGCTGAAGTCAAAGATGGCCTGCAGGCCTCCGAGCGAAACGGGAAAACACATCCGCCACCTGTGCGGATCCGTTTCGTTTTTGCTCGGATCTGCGAAAAAAGTGACGAAGTTGTGGGTCCACCAACTAAAGAGCCAAAAGCTTACAAGCTAAAAAGTGCGAAAAAAGCTAAAAAGCTAAAAAGTGCGGACAATAGTGACTAACGTTTTGTTGGTGAGACACCAAAAAACCGGTAAAACCCACGAGAAAGGGGCTAAAAAGGTCGAAATTTAGGTATGAGAAACTGCAAGTTGCCAGGGGAATGGAGGAAGGATCCAACCTAGGTTCCCACATAAGACAGCAAGCCTGGGCAAGCTTCCCAGAGCAAGTCACGAGAAGTCAAACAAGGTTCCAGATCGCCTCAGGGTCCCAATCTTCATACGGATTTGTCTCTCTGACTCGGCGCAAACTAACCGGAAGCAACTTGAGGTTGGGCTGCCTCGGTCAATACGACCAACCAAATAAGGGAAAGCGAGGGCTCCGTCTCCTACGGTGGTGTGTAGGATTTGTTCATGCTGATGCAGCCTCATGTGGGATTTTCTCAAAAAGGTGGACCTTCTTTTGGATGTTTTGAAGGGGAACCCTAAGGAAAAGAAACCATTTCAGGGGTCCCCTATTTTGTGCCATACCCCTGTATGTTTGCTCTCAGGAAATGCGACAAAATTGGCTTGACCACGTTTTGGCTCACAATTTGGGGGCTTCCCCCAAAAAACACAAACCCAATGCGGGTAAACAAATTTTGGCCCCACAAGGAGTGCTGCTTTTTGAGCTTGATGAACCTCAGAGTAGGTTCTCATTGCTTGTCTTCTCCATTAGGTTGCAAAAGAAATAACAACATGCCACTCTCATCCTTGTTTTCCCAAACTATAGCTCTTGGGGGAAGTCTGGGCATAGACGACATCATTTTGGATTCATATCCCTTTCCCAACCCAGGGGTGCTCCACAGCCACGCGACTTCCTCTGATCCCTTTTGCACATCCGAATCGCTGAGCTGAAGATCGGCACATGTTGCTGCTGGCGTTGCTGCGGAAACCGCCGCGGAGCGCCAAACATGCCGCCTTGCACCACCTTCTCAAGGGGATATCAGAAAGGGCCCCTAATTTTGGCCCCCACTTTCTGGTTGCTTTTGAGAAAAGTATGTATCCGCGTCCAAACAAAGTCAAGAGGTCAGATGGTTCAAGCCATTGAGCAATCGTGCTTCGGCAACGGTTCAAAGCACTCCGAACTGGTTTCTACGAGATTCTCAGTTGACACCAGCCAGCATTGCCTATCATTGAATCATTGTTACACCGAGCCATACAACTGCTCACGTAGAGAATGTGTAGTTTGGATGCTCCCTTTGACCAGCGAAACGCAAATGTTTACAGTTGCTCACGACTGGTCATGTGTACGTCATGTGTACGCTTGGAAGCAGGCACCCCGCTACAACATGGCCATGGCAACCGACACAGCCACCCCCGGGCCAATAATATGTACCATCCCCGACCGATACTGCCCAAACGGCTGCACCCACCGGAGTCACTCATCAAGTAGGTTAAGGGGAAACAATTTGAGTCACGGCCTGTGACCCAGCGGTCCAAGTGGGCTCAGACCACGTGTCATGTGCTTTTTATTTAACCTCGCAAGAAACTTATGGCAAGGATTCTTGCTCTACCTTCCCTCCATGGAAGCTTGCAAGAGGGTTTGGCAGGACTCCTGCCAAGCTCCCCTGTCGACTTCCATGATTGTTGAAAAGAGGGTACCGCCCCATAGCCAAGGGAGCCAGTTCAGCCAACTCGTGACTACTAGTGATTCTTGGGGCCCATTTATATGAGTTTTCCATGGCTCCCCCTGCAAATTGGCTCTGAATCAGCGGACACTAACAGCTCTCTTCCCGCCTGCCAAATGGATCTCCCCTTCCAGCATCGCGCGTACCAACCGCACCACCTCCGCAGTACTGAGCCTCGGCTCTGAAAAAATCAGCCTGTCCGCTTTGGAGTCAGTACCCTCTTTCCAAAAGGGGCCCTGGTAAATGGTCCAATTCCTGGTGGTTGTATTTTGACCCGTACCCATTTCCCTTGCATCACAGTGGTTGGATAAACCGTGAACCCCTGGATCCCACAACAGTGAGGCCTTTCCAAAAGAACTGCAGTCCAAAACCCTGCTGTCAGCCAGTGGGAAAGGGATATGGTTTCCTGTTTGGGGTGGTAAAGGGAAACAAAGGGACACCAGCTTTTTGTGGATTGCTGTTTGAAGACGCACCCAATTGTGCTAGGCTCCATGACTCAGAGTCGAATTCCGCGTCTTTTCCCGTGTGCGCATCCGCACAGACAGACCAACACAAATAGACAGGCAGAAAGACGGACAGACACACAGACAAATGGACGAATGGACAGAGAGATACAGGGAAGCAGAGACACGCACACACACATACATTACATGAGCATCAACATACACACACACACACAGATGCACACGCCCGCACATACGATATGTACATGCCTGTACATATATTTGCATACACACGAACCGGCTATTCCCCGCAGCAGGGATTAGATACACACATGTAAGAGCAACGCAAGCAGACAAAATACACTGAACCGTAATGGTATGACTACTATAGATGCAAACGCGAATACACAATGCAAACATTCACTCAATCACAGACACAGGCAGAAACGCGAATGCATACGCAAACGTGAATGCAGAAAAGGGCAGAAGCAAATGTAGGTGGTTTGGGTTGATGTTTGTAGGTAAGACAAAATCCAAACCAGCAACTAGGCCTTCATTTGCTTAAGTCCCCAGCAAAAAATGAAACTAGCTTCCAGTCGCGCAATCGATTCCCTGTAAACCGGAAAAAAAAAAAGAGGAAACCAAAAAAAAAAACATCCATTTCAGCCAACGGAAGTAACAGGCCACCCCAACCAAAAGGATTAAAAAAAAAAAGCCAAGGCGCTGCAGCCATTCGACCTTGACCGCAGCCAGCAGCTCCTGAAAGTCGACCTGTGGCAAAAAAATGTTCCGCGCATCCCTCCTGCATTCCGAAAATGACTCAAATTGCTATGGGTCAAAATGCCGCACCCCCAGTGAACATCCCAATCCCCACCAAAATAGACTAAAATGGGTGGTGCACCCTAAAATGGGATACCATTGGTTTTGACCCACAGCCAAATGCGGTCTGTGTGTGTGTGTGTGTGTGTGTGTTTTTGAGGGAGGGACCCCTGGTGCGCATCACTTGGCTTGGGGTTTTATGTCCGCCAACCACTTTTTGAGGTGGCCCCCTCTTAAGTTTCATAGCCATGTGGGGTATGTGTTTTGTTCTTGCTCGTTTGGTGAAACCATGGATGTGTTGGCTTCCCAGCCTGTCTCTATGTTTAGATCTGGCGTTCGGTGAATTGTCCATTTTTTGTCTTGGTGTGGAACCTCCTCCTCCGTTTGGATAGTCCCCTGTGGGTTGAACATGGAGGAATGGCACTGTGTTGGGATGCCAGGAGTTAGGTCCCTCTGCCTCTCCCTCTCTGTCTCTCTCTCTCTCTCTCTCTCTCTCTCCCATCTTTCCCACCAATTCAAAAAAATCCCGTCCATAGGCCCCCCTTCTGAGTGAGGGGTGGGCCAATGCCTAAACATGTTGAAACCACCCTCACCAAACATTGCTTGGTGCAAGTTCGACTCCTGGAAGGCACGCAAACCTGGTATATCAGCAATACCCAGCTTTTGCCCAAAGGTCATATGGTTGATTCTGGTCCAAATTTAGCGAACTTCAAATGAAAACCTGACTCCAGATATGGGGACTGGGAACCCCCCCCAACACTCTTTGGGAGGTGTCCCCTTGGTGTACATTTCCAGCCCCAGGACACGAAAATGAAAGAAGTCATGCCCATACCGGGCTTTCTCAAAATGGTGGACCCATTCTTGGGATGGCTTTCAAGGGAAGCCACAAGGAAGCCATGCCATTTGGCTATGAGTCAAAAATGCGTACCCAGAATGGAACCCTGGTAAATGGAACCAAAGACTAAAACTTGCGGTCCCCTGGTGGTTTTATTTTGACCCATACCCATTGGAGCCACCCTGCACCCACCCGCGGAAAAAAGAAAAAGGCAACGCGCCTCCGTCGGGACGTTCTTCGAGAAGATCCTTACCGGGTCCACGTGCGGACTGCACAGCTCCTGGCACGCGAGAACGAAACCTAGTGTGACTGGTTGCGAAATCCTGAAACCGCACCACTTGGAAACCACGGGAAACCACTGTTTGTTGGTATGTACAGGGGAATCATCAGACATCAGGGTTTCTTAGGTGATGCAAAATTTCGTCCATCCACAGTATGGCAAAGGATGGAGGGATTCTACTCTTCGAAGAAATCCAGAAACCGCACCACCTCAGAGACCCTGATTTCGGATGATTCCCCAACGTAAAGACCAACAAAGCATGGGTTCAACCATGGTTTCCAAGTGGTGCAGGATTTTGTCCATCCACAGTATGGCAAAGGATGGAGGGACTCTACTGTCGGAGGAAATCCATAAACCGCACCACGAAATGAAACCATGGCTGAATCATGTCTTGTTGGTACTTACGGGGGAATTGAACTTCCAGGAGTTCTTAGGTGCAAGATTTCGTCCATCCACGGTAGGAAAAACCGTTCACCAAATGGCAGTGAGTGTGCCTTTGCTCGGGGGACAAAACAACTTTGGTTCTAAAGGGAAACCAAAAGGAAGCCAACCGTACAGGGGCGTCCTCCAATTTCGAAACTAACGCACTTATAAGTTTGGCAACCATTTCCCTACACAGGGTTCTTCCACTTCGCTCTTGGCTGAGCAACTCCACAAAAGGAGGACAAAACCAAACTGAAAGCCAAGGATGGGCCGAGAATAGGCCAATGATGAGCCAAGGACGCGCCAATGCGTCAATGACTCTAGATGTCAATTCAGAAAAATCGACCGCACTGGTGAATCATTGGGGACAAATTGAAACTAGTGGCATTCATCTCTTCCAAATTACCGACCTAGAAACAAACCGGGCCCTGACCATCATGCTGCTTGAACGTTGGACAGAGATATGCGGGTTAAAATTGAACCAGGGGACAGGTTAAATCGTCCATGATTCCATTTACAGGATTCCATTTTGGGGTTGCCCAAAAATTTGACCACCACCGCCATATCTTTGGAAACGAGCACTTCCTCCGCGGCTACTACTGTGAGGTCCTCAGAAAAGCGGCCGCCAACAGGCCACCAAAGTGTCGATCGGAGAGACATTCGAGTCGGTTGACCCAATATAAATCAAGCAACCAGTTCATAGGGTGCCTTTCCCTGGGTGAAATGTTGGGAATCAGACCACTTTTGGAGGGTAACATCCCCTATTTATAAGCTGGAAGTTGAAAAATATGGGGTCAACATTGCGTTGGGTATATGTTGGCTACCATGGTTTCGAATGGCTTCAAAGCAGCTTCGGCACGTCTCCTTCAAAATGTCTTCAAACAGTTGAAAATCGATGATGCCCTCGTTCGCCACAGCAGCGCAGCGACGCAAGATGTCCTCGCGATTAAAGCCTCGGAGATTGAAAGTGGATGGACTGATTATCTATTATCAGAATGGTCTCCCAAGCTTGGGAAGTGAGTAGGTCAGTGTGGTTCACAATACCTCGCACCGGTTCCGGTTCGGTTTCAATGATTTGCCAGCGCCAGGGATTTGGAAAAATCCGCGGCTGTTCATCTGAGCGAGTGCGAAACAAACACGAGCACTAATCGATCCCCCAACAGAAGAAGGGGAACTCTGTCATTTGCCGCCAATTGCCAGGGTGTGTGGACCGGTTCGCTTCATTTATATAGGGCACTGAAGCAGCTCGGAAGCCGTGGGCCGTGGAGCGTTCCCGTTGGGGGTAGGCATCGACCGGACGCTTGACCAGCCCCTTATCATGGCTCTCCAAATGTCTGAAAGAGTCCATGACCATCCCTCTCTCTGTTGCCGTCATGTTTGGTGTGTCGTGGTTGTGCACTAGCTTCCACACCTGTCATCTGTTCTCAGGTACCAGACAAAGCTACAGCCGCTGGTGGCCTCCGGCTTGACGGTCAAAGATCCGAAACTCGATTCCCAATGAGACTTCACAATGAGATGCTTCCGGGGCTGGGATCGTGCTTTGATGTGATTCTTGGATGAACCATTTGAACTGACACGGAGTAGGCGGTCTTTGGGTGAGGCGATGTTTCAAAGAACAGTACTGGCTGGTGCTGAGAAACCTCCCATCTGTTTGATTGCTCATTGGCCATATCTTGCTCATCCCTGAAACTCGCCCGGCTATGTGGGATGATTTAGAGTGAGCACCAAGCCTATGGTGGCGAAAGCTAAGTGAGTAAATGTTGGCTCTAGCAACCAGTAAAACCAAAAGTCAAAGAAGTAGCAGCTCTAGACTTGTCACAAAGTTCCAACCTTTGGCTTTGAACAATGGTCCAACTTGTCAAAAGTTCGAACCATTGGTCTTGAACCAATCAGATTCAGCTTGGCCCCTGCCTGTACAGACTTTGTGTCAAAACGCCGTGCCAACGCCATCCAGGCCCATAGTTCTTTCCCAGGTTGGCTCCAGGGCACAAACCAAGGCCAGGGCGTCTTGACGGGCGGCCGCCTCCGCGCGCCGCGCGCGCCAGGCACCCAGCAGGTTTACCAACCAAAAAGACCGAAGGGCCTTCAGCCATTTAGGTGCTACTGTGTTTTGCCGGCTTTGGGCGGTGGGGAACCAGTTTGGGCTTCTGTGTGATTTACCATACGCCTGGGCAAATTATAATAGAGCTTATCTTACAAATGGGTGAGCTCGTTCGAGTTTGCCCAAAAAACAATCAGAACCGATCTGTTTGAAGGGCCCCTCAGTTGATCAAAGTGAACGGACGCCCAAGTTAATCCCTTCTCGCGAAGCTGCCCCTCTGCGTTTGCTTAGCCTCGGGGCTGGCACGGTGAAAAATGGATGTGGCAGCTCGCTTTGATTTGATCTGATTTCCGCAAAGATTGCGCTTGAGGAAGTGTCAAGCAGCCAGGCTCCAAAACAATATATACCTCCACACTTCTATGAGGCCACCAAGGGCGACCGAGGCTGGGAGACTTCTGAAATCCTGCCACTTGCGCCATCTATCAAACCACTCAGAGAGAGATGGAGGCCATCCTTCGGGCACGGAGCACCGGTGCTTTCGGTGGAGTTTTCCACAGCCGAAGGACAACATCCGAAAGAAAGCCCCTCAAGCAGGCGCCAAGGTTCCAAATGGAAGGGTACTGCAATTCAAAATCCGAGTTTCCTCATTTTTTTGCAGGGCCTGGGTGGCTCTGTTGCTATGAGGCAGCCAGGCTAGAATTCGACCATGCAACCCAAGGTGACTTCGGCAAAGACCACCAGACCTGGGCTGTCCTCAGCTCCCCTAGAAGTCGAACACTTTCAGTCCACCAAGCCCACCAAAAAGCTTCTAAACAACACGAAGCACTTCCACCAGACCCACACAAAAGCTCGCAAAAAAAAGAGGTTGACCCACCCGCACGGCCGAGAAAAACGCCGCCGCACGCCCGGCGTGTTGACGTGCTTTTTCGTTCCCCCTCGCACCGATCGAGAAATCCCACGTGGATGTCCCCCGTCTCCCGAGTCGTCGCCTGCGCGGCGCCCTGGTCGAAGAGCGCCAGGCCCTTGGTGGCAGACTCCGCCACCTGCGGGTGCCAATTTTTCTGGGGCGGGGGAGGGGGGAGGGGGAACCTTTGTTTTGTGTTGGTTTGTTTTTCGGGGTGCGAAAGGTGCCCTTTTTTTCTGGGGGGAGGAGGCGGGGGGGGCTTTTCTTTGGCTTGGAGAGATGGGGGTGGGGGGTTCTTCTCTTTTTCGTTGTTTCCGGGGGGGGGGGGGGAGGGGGCCATTGTTGTGTTTTATTTTATTTATTTATTTTTTTTTGGGGGGGGGGGGTTAAAGGGAAACCCAAAAGGAACACCGACCCTTTTTTAGGGGGGGGTCCACCCTTTTTGGGGTTTTACAGGGAAAGCAGAAGGAAGACTGGACCGGCCCCATACATTTCATGGTGTTTCTTTCTTTTGTTCGGAAGTCCACCCTTTTTTGTGGGGGCTTTGAAGCTGGAGACCCTTCGGAGCACCAAACCTCGGCATCGAGCCCCAGGGGTCGGACCTTGGAAAAGCCCGCGCCCAGCGCGTGCTCGGCGCAGTGCAGCTGCAGGTCCCCCAGCCTGCGGCCCGCGAAGGAGAGGGGGAGCGAGGGGGGAGTGGGGGCCTGGCCACAAAACGCGCCACCGTTCAGAAACCCAAGGGAATGATGCGATTCCCCAACGCAAAATACCAACAAACATTATGTTTTCAACCATGGGTGACTCGAATTGTGCGATTTTTGAATTTCGCGACCACCCACTTCCATGGTTTCAACCCTGGCAAATACTAACAAACAATGGTTTCAACCATGGTTTCAAAGTCGTGCGAAATGGATCTCGTCCACCCACAGTCTCAGTTGGCCACGCGGCTTTTGAAGTTTGTTGGGTGTGAATCGTCACTTCTTTTTGAGATACCTCAAGGGTGCGTTGAAGCGCTTTAAAGCTTGTTAGCCAATTTTAGCCAAAGTATCACCAGAATTCGGGCTTGTCTCGTGCTCACGCCCCAGAGAGCGCCCCTAACGATTAAGCAGCAGCTGTGGCCAATCTGACATGACTAGCTGCACTAGTACATACAGCTTTGCTGCCAGCAGATCGGACTACTTGTCATAGTCTGCGCTGAATACCTATCAGCAAGGTGTTCCTACATCAAGGAAATGTAGCGACACTTGTAAGTAAGGGTAAAAAAACTTAGGGCTCGTCAGCTGCTGCCCACCCACCCCCGCCTGCCCGCCTGCCCCTGCCCGCCCACCCACCCAGCCCACCCCAGCGTCCCCACACTGTACTACTACGGAGTATGGCGCCGGCAAATGACTGCCATGTCTGCTGTGCGCACCAGGCACGCCTGGCCCTATTCTGACAGTAGAAACGAGCAACTAGTGCTCTTTCATCAACCTCTTCAATGTTGCTACGCATCTCGCGGGAGGGGTTGGGGAGCTCAGGACAAAGCTCAGGACTGTGCCATATACATTCAAAAAAACAGCGGAAGCATTCTTCCCGGCCTCATGGACAAGGAGAACCTTTCTGGCTGGCCGTCCCCACGGTGCAGAATTGCCACACCCCCGGCATTCCGGTAGCGGCCCCCGTAGTGGGAGGCGCTGAAGACCGTCAGCAGCCGTCCTGAACGAAATCCGCCCCAGTTCGGTGGTTTGACCCATATGGGCCTCTTGTTTTGAGGGCACCCTTTTTGGAGTGGGTTTAATGGGAACCAAAAGGAACCTCCCTTACTTCAGGAGAGCGAAAGCTTTGTCCTCTTAGGGTTGCGTAGCAAACGACACCAGCGGGTCATTCATTCTTATGCGATGCATTTTGGGTGGCAGGTACGGCCCAGTCAACATTCGCACTGTCTTAAATCATATGTATGAACATTGACCGATCCGGACTCGCAGGATTTTAGGGAAAAAGAGGTGTGAACCTTGCTGCGGCAAACCAAGAGGCCAAACTTGTGTCTTGGATTACATGTTGGTTTCTGGTTCCTATGGCTACTTGCGGTACACCCACTCCTTGTGACATGGTCAAACACCTTTCGTTTACACCTCCTCTGTTTGGTTCCTGCGTGAAACCAGCGGGTTGGTGGGTCGCAAGAAAACTCCTTCGCCCGGCCGAGGCGCGATCATGCAGCAGCTCGAAGCCCTGCATGGTCTTTGGCACCTGAAGGCGAGTGAAGCTTTCGCCTTTCGCGTGCCTCTGGACCGAAGACTTGCTTCGATCGCCAGGGATTGAGAATGGAATGACACCGAGAAAAACCGGCTCCTTTGGCGCTTCGGGATATGGGTGCAGATATTTGTTGCTTGGTTCGCAGCAATGGGTGCAGAGAATCGGGGAAAAAAATCCGCCTCCAAAGATTTGGATCTCGTGGTTCCTACTGTAGTGATTGGAAGCGAGCTTGCCAGCCCTAGAATCCGAATTTGTCTCAATGGGGTGGAACCAACCCACCAAAAAGGGCAGTTCTCTAAGGGGCCTCTCTTGAAAACGACAATTTTCAAGACGCACCCAACAAAACAAATACGGAGTCCTGGTGAAAACAACCCAAGACGCACCCAACAAGGGTCCTGAGACATCGGCCCCCTTAGCAAGGTCGACACATGGCCCAAACGCCAGCGGGACGAATCGACTTTCGCCTGGTGAGAGCGGATGCAGAGGCTCAGGCCGTTGTCTTTCAAAAACCTGACTCGCACTGAGCGGAGCACGGGCAACCCCGTTTCTCCCCACGTGGAAAAAGTGGGAGGCCCTCTCCCAAGATCCCGTACCTACAAAAGGATGAGGTGTTTTTACTGTTATTTTTATTTTATTTTTTCCGGGATCCTTCTGTTCACAGTGCTGCTCAGAAATCCATGAAGCACACAGGTGGAATGTTGGTCCCTGAAGGGAATCCAACACCAACCTTTTCCACTTTTCTGCCCTTGTGGTTTGATGACTTTTTTGGAACGGACCAAACAAAGCCTGTACCAAAAAAGAATGCGATTCCCAAAAAGAGACATCACGATCCAGAAAATGGGCGGGATGGTGCTTTGGGTTCCACGTGCGGGGAAGTACGCCTCGTCTCACAATCAGATTTGGCTGTGGGTCAAAATGGCACCTTGCTTCATGGAACCAGAGACTAAAACCAGCGTAACCCTAGCTCTTTAACTTTGAGCCACAACCATTTGGATCTCTCCAAATAGTTGAGAAACCCACTTTGAATGGGCAAAGGGAAGCGGCATCCAGCTGCCACCGCTTTGGTCCTCTCATTCTTTACTTTGGAAACAAACCAAGACGGCGGTCATAATTCAGGGGTTCCAACTAGGTGCAGAAATCATCACCTCTCCACCAAACGAAACCTCACTTTGAATTGACCAGACAGTATCCAGTAAAATCTGCCGCGCAGAATTGAGGAGATCTCTCGTGTTGGGGAACTGAAGGGGACACCAGGTCAAAAATCCATGTGCGTGTCCTTTTTTTTTTCTTTTTCCGGGGCCTGGAGCCGAGAGAGATCAGGAAATCAGAATAAGTTGCACCCCTCGAAATGGTGTCATTTCCGTCGGTGTCAAACATGGTCCAAAAAGGGGGCCCGGCTCAAAGGGGATTTGTTTTCTCCAAGATACCCCCCAAAAGCAGGACGCAAAGGTCTTCACAAAGATTCTAGAAGGAACCCACAAAAACTACGAGGGGGGCACCAAACACGCAACTCGTCGATTTTAGGGGTGTCCTTTTCAGACAAAACAACACATCTAAGACAAGCCCAAAGCTCGGCACATGCCCCTGGTTTTGGTGAGGAACTCGGTGGGCCACCGAAATCCCAAACCAGAAATTTCCCGTAAGTTACGTTGGATTCCAATCAAAAGTGCAAGCAAGAGAACCAGCAACCCCTCTATTTTTTATCATGGCTTTGTGCTTGAGTACGAGCTGTTTACTTGCTTGCTTCCTGCTGTTTGGGTATTAAATGACCCAGCATGTTAACTTTGTCCAAAAGGAAAGTCTCTTACCCGTGCGTCCCCTATGTTCCATCTTGGCATCCAGCTGGTTGCCTGTCACCTCCTCTGCCGGGATCTATCCCCAAAAAGGCAACGCGCCCCACGGCGGCCTGAAACTTGGGACTGGCTGGGGTTCGAAAAACCAAAGCCCGCCACTTTGTGGCTTTCCCCTCGCTAGCAATAACCCTGTCCAAGCCAAAACTTCGCTCTGTCCAGTTAAAGGGAGCTCCCTTGGCCACGCAAAGTGGCAACACCGAGGATCCAACGGATCCCCCTCTTCTTGCTGGTTCTCAGTGGGGAAGGAAGGGATGCTATAACACGATCCTGGACTCCCAAATTCTTCACGTCCAGTAACGGCTCCTGGCCGCAGTGATTGCAGAATCCGTTCCCTTTTCACACCGCGCGTGAGTTACGGGGGAGAGTTCAAGATAGCTCGTATGGCACTCCTTGGGAGGATGGAGTCCACAAGTCAGCAGTCCATAAGTCCGCAACAATGACAACCACCCTGACGTTTTCGTTCAGCACATCGGTGCAACATGGGAACAAACCTCCCAATACCCAATATAGCGATTGGACAAGGGTTCCCAAATTTCCTACGTTCCCAAATTTCCTACTCAGTCTGGCCCTGATGTTACCATTGCCAACCTGACCCCCCTAAGCCGCCTAAGCCCATTTTCTGATTTAATGCTTCAAAAAACAACTAAAATCATGACCCCGACAGCACGTCGGCCCAGCGGCTTCTGCGTGACGTCGGGCCCGAAGTTCGTGACCATGCTGCCACGGCTGGACCTCCACAGAACCAATCCGACTCGGGGAAGTGGAGAAGGGAACAGAGAGGCTTGGCCGACTCACAATCAATTCCCGGTATTAAAATGGTCAACACCCAGAATCAGAACCACGTAAGGAAGTACAAAGGCGGCCGCTGCTGTTTCTGGCTGGGATTTTGTCCCTAACATTCATCTACCTTTTTTCTGATGAAATAAGTCATTCTCAACACCTGGCCTTAAAAGCAAAATCAAGTCTACCCATATGTCATGGTGAAAAATCCAAAGGGTGGTCGCGCCTAGTGGTGGTTAGGACTGTCCCGTGCGAACTTGACTCAAATGCACCAGGATGTGCATTTGGTTGGTTTGAGGAGAAACCAAAGCAACTAGACAAAAAAATATATATTTGGATTAGTTCACCTGCAATGAAAGAAGGCTTCCTCAAGAGACACCTGACAGACTCGTCAAAGCCCAAGAGAGCCCGTTTCGGATTCATGATGAGGTCGACAATCACATGAGCTACAAAGGTCCCATGAGCGCGCCATTGGACGGTGCCGTCAAAACTCTCTGCTTGGCATAGCCAGTGAGGATCCATGTTTGGAGAAACGCATGCGAGCCCCTTTGCACGGAGCTCTGACTTCCTGAAGGGTCCCGTGCCTTGTCTGACCGTGCGTCGAATTGACTTACCCTGAATTCGGTCTTGCACTTTCTTTGAATAGCCGCTACTCGTCCACTGGGACGAACCCACAAGGCTCATACCCCAAAAAAGGTCTGGCGCGAGACTTGTCAGCACAAAGTGATCCTATGTCAAGGCCCGCTCCTAGAATTGGAACATAGCGCGTCATGGGGGCCCGAGAAGCCAAAACAAGCAGTCCATTGGCAGCACCATTTTTAAGTAGATGTTCGAACAAGGAAACTGGTTCCCCTCCCTTTTAGATGAGATCTAATGATTGAACCCAACCCTTCAACTGTCTACCAGACCGCAAAAAACTGGGACTGGACCCAAACAACAGGGATCCAGTAGGATTTTGCAAGTTGGAATCCTCTAAACCCGGATATCTTTGAGATTTCGACATGCCGCAAATGAGCAGCGCGCAACATAAGTTGATTTTGGTTCTACCAATGGTCATACATGTTTGCAACGGCCTCACCAGTCCCAAACCAGGAAGAACCTTACCACCTGGCCCCATGAGTTCACCATCAAGTCACCCAGTTTAAAGAGGCGTGCCTTTCTTGAGGCTGCCCCCGTTGTTTTTTTTTAGCGAAACCAAGAGTAAAACCCACCTTCGCTCCACCCAACACGGACCTTCTTCGAATCGGCGCTCAACCACAACTCCCGGAACCCCGAACCCCTTTGCCTCGTCACGCCCGTCTGCTCCACGGGATCCGCCCACTGGGCGTCGAAGAGGATCTTCTCGTCCTCCGTCCAGTCCTTTCGCACGCGGGCACGCGGATGCCCTGGAGGGGGGCGTGACGCGAAAAATTGGTGGCCAAAAAGGGAGAAACTGAAACCTTGGCAACAAATGGATCCAAGTGGTTTAAACTAAATAACTGAACCCAGGTTTAAAAAAACTGAACCATTTGGGTTCAACTAGGCTGAACAAAACTGAACCATTAAACTGAAAGGTCAGCCTTTGGGCAGGGAAAAAAGATCCGCTGATATGGGTTTACACAGACACGCTCTTGAAAAACCATCTAAGGATACACTGCGTGTGTGTGGGTGAAGCCCTTGGTGAAAAAGCTGTGTGTGTGTGTTAAAAAAGAAAGAACGCTCACTTGGAAGAACAGTTGGTTTAGAGATCCGAATCCTTGAAAAAAAAAGTGGTTTCTGGATGCATCCTTCCACCGGCAGGGATCCTTCCAGTCAAGTGCTTCGGAGAACGTCAGGTTCAACCCGAAGATCCGTGAGAAAACCGACAAATGTTGGAGTTCCCCTAAGGTGAAGCTCGACTTTCTTTTAACCACCGGGTATCTGAGCCCTTGGAACATCCGAATTCATCATCCCCAAACCTGAAACGAGAAATGGACCCCCAAGTCAACCTACATCAAAACGAAAAAGCATCGCCGGGGTAAAATGGCATCCAGCCAAGAAACATCTTCCGATCTCCGATCGCCGGGGGACAACCCATGGGTTTCGTGGCACCCGACCGGAAAGGAAAAAAATCCAAAAAACCAAAACAAAAACAAAAAAAAACGGAACCCCACAGCTCCCCCCCAGTCGCCCAGCTCTCCTTGCCCCGGGCCCGCTCAGCCTCAAGTTCGCGTGGGATTTCGTGTCATGAGTCCCGGCGGCGGATTTTTTGTTTTTTGTTTCAGCAAGTGCCTCCCATTCAGCTGGCCCCTTCATTGGTGGTTTGGATTGGTGGTTTGGGATTTGACGAACGTCCTCCCATTCGGCTCTGCCAGAAAAACCGTCTGCTCTGTGAAGCCCACTTTATGCACACCACAACCAGGCTACCCAAAAACACAAGTTGTCCAACCGCTGCGATAGCAAGAAACGGACTGCTCTTCCAGGCTTCAAGATGACGCGCTCTAAATCCACCCTCCCCTGCTTGGTAACCAGGCGGTGAATTTGAGGCTAACATCGGTGTCGAATTGCCTGCTCCGGAAAACTAAATGCAACACACGTCCCAAAATGGCTGCGACGTGTGCAAGACCGCAGCCCTTATCAAATCAAGGAGTGCGGCTATCTTCTTGAAAGGGGCAACAAGTGCTGGGCGTTGCTATATGCGTAGGGCAAATGTGTGTTTCTCAAAATAGGGGTGACCTGTTTGGATGGCTTTAAATTTGGGTGAAACCAGAAGAACGCCAGCTGAAGGGGGTTTCTAATTGTTCGAGAAACACCCAGATGCATGGCTTTTGAAGGAAACCCAAGAACTCCCAAAAGAAAGACCATCCCACTAAAAATGGCCCCCCCTGACCCCTGATCAACAACTGGGGGGGGTCTCAAGTTGGAACGAGAACGTCGGTCCAAAAGTTGCACGCGGACCAGTGGGTCGGAAGGGTTAAGCATGTGCGCAATGTGGAAGTGCGCTGAATCAAGCACATATGATTGAATCAAGAATCAAATTTCTGCCGCGCCAAATTGATGTAGGCCCTGTAAAACAATGCGTTTGCTGGGCGAGGCGGAAAATGAAGGCAAACAAGTTGGCAGGGTAAACTAAGTCTGGCAATGTCCAGAGCGTTTCAATCCAATGTCCAGAGCATGTCGATTGAGAACCGAGTCTCACCAGTTCTTCACTTGCCCTGGCAGGTAAGCAGCCTTAGCCAGTTCAACATGCTCGACATCACAATGGGGGATTCCGTGTTGAAGGTCAAAAAAAAAAACGGGCACCGAACTCCTGCCATTCAGAAAAGAGCGGCTCGACACACTACTCATGTTTGTATTTCACATGCCCATCCACGTCATAGCTCACAGAGGAGAGCAAGAACGAGCTCCGGCCCAAACGTCACCCCACCCGAAGGAAGTTCGCAGTTGCCAGGCTCGGGTGATGTCTCAACAGGGGCAAATGTGGGGGAAACAAACAAGTTGCCCTAACGGAATCACAAAAACAAGACCTCTGTAGAAAATTCTGAACAAGCTGACGCGCCTTCAATTGGATGGACAATTCCCTCAGCATGTGCCTTGGTTGTAACTTATAATCCTGGTTCACTAAACTGGTCTTCCCGAAAAGTATATAAAGTCCAGGAACTCAGGGAGTGAGCAGTTCTCCCAGTGACCATCACCCAGCGAACATCCCAGCGAAGGCGCTTCCGTGAGGCTCAGCGGGTAGTGCCGCCGGTAGGGCAACTGCTTCAGCCTCTCCAGCGTCACCTGTCTCGTCTCGGGCTCCCATTGGGGCGGTGTTATTACAAACCAAAAGGACACCAGCTATGTAGAGGGCTTCAAATTCCACTTGAACAAGCATGTCTATGATGTTTGGCTGGTTGGAATGCCAATTGCTTGGCCTTCCATACATCCTAGAACTGGGTTCCCAATTAGCTCCCCCTGCAAAGCTCACCCCGTCTGAAGGAAGCTTGCTTTGAATCGGCGACTAAGGGGCGATGCTGAAGCACACCACAAGGCAGTAATGCATGGAGTCCTGCCCAATGCAACTGACAAGAGACAACTGTCACAACAACTACTGTCCTCTTGAAAAGGCAACTCTTGTTCCCTTCCGTCATTGTTGGAAGGGGTATTTGCTTCGGACCTAATCTTCTCATATCGAGGGGAAGCCACAAAAACAAGCCCTGAACACGTGTTTCTACAGGTAGGCCAGGGGCCACGAAACGACGCACGTCTTCTGTCGCGCCTATTGGTTGGGGCGGTCGTTTACTCAGTTGCCCAGTTTGGACACCGAAATTTTCGGTGATCTCCTTTTGGGCCCACCATTCACGGATCAAACTCGAAGACCTTTTCAGACAGATTTGTTTGGTGATCGGTTGTTGGGGTTACTAGAAATGGACCAAAAAAGGAAAGACTCGAAGCGGCAAGGGCCTGAATCACTGGAATTAGTCACTTGCTGAGTGGCTGGACTTGAGTCACTTCTTGGGTCTGGACCAATTTAGTGAAGGGTTGTTTCCGGTAGGTGAAAAGGACCAAAAAAGGAAAACCTTGTTTGATGATCACCTTTGGGGCCACTAGAAATGGACCAACAAAGGAAGGCTCGACCTTTCTTCTCAGATCCGGCCGAACTCCCGCCCTCCCGCCTCGGGTGTCCGGAAGAGGCCTCCGTGGACCACGAAGATCTTGCGCTCGATGACGGCGAAGAGAGGCAGGAGGAGGAAGAGCTGTTGAAATCGCTCGTAAATACCTGGGGCGAAAACGACAAACAAGGAAAATACCTGGGGGTTGATCAATATTCCATGTAGTGCTCCAAATGACCATGGGTAACTTTTCCAACCGAGTCGTCCAAACCGGGAGCCTCCGAACGTCACGTTCCATGTTAACTGGTGGGAGTGTGACCAAAACTTGCCGGTGCTCAGCAGAGAATTAGAAATGGAATGACCCCTATAAACATGTTTTTGTGGTTTCGGTTTCCCTCAAGCAATCCCTAGGTGCATTCCCAACACCCTGGGTCATTCCCTACTAAGCTCCAGGAAGCAACAGAGAAACAAGGAGAACCACCAACAGCGGCCGCTTGAAAAACTTGGAAAGGGCTGGGATGAGATGCGCAGGATTGCAAGTCAATTCATGGTGACGACTCTGAAAGGATGGAACACCTGAAAATGTGAATCGTCCCCTGTGGCCTGAATGATGCGAAACGGCGGGTGCAAGGCTTCGGTGCGTTTCTGGATGGCATGGCAAACATGGCAAGTTCCAACCCTTATCACAAAAGACCGGCAACCCAAAGACCTTCTCATGTTCAATCAACCAAACCCCCACCAGCCCCAAACGACCAACCCCCAACCGCTAACCCTCAAACCCCCCCACCCCATCTCCCACACTTTCCAACCAAGAGCTTTCAAACATGGGATTGTTTAAAAAGAGGGGGGGGGCATCCCCAAAATGTCGGTGCTCCTTTTGGTGTCCCTTGAAAGCCTGCTAATGGCACCCTCTCTCTCTCTATATAGATATATATATACATATGTTGTATATAGATATATACATATGTTGTACATATATACACATATATATATATATATATGTATATATACGTATATATATGTATAGTTGTCCCGCCCAAAAAACATCATGCCTCCAACAGGAAGCTCCAACACCGGCGACCAAAAGTGGATCAAGCCAAGCTATCCGGACCGAGCGCTCGGATCTCAGTTTTGAACCAACGGAAGCACAAGCCCCTCAGAACCCAAGGCTTCAAGGCCCCAAGGCCAGGTTTTTCCTCGCTCCCAATTCAGGTTGCGAGTTGAAGCGCCCAACTCTTCCTGACTCTTGCTCAACACAGGCTTCCCTACATTTCTCTTAAACATCACCATCCAAAGGATCAACTCCAAGGGCACCAACGGTGATGCTCCCCCCATCCCCGACCCCGATTTAAATCGGCCCCAGGCTTCCGGGCGGCGGGGCCCGTACTTTGCCAGGCACTCCTCCGCAAAGCCTCCCCCGAAGCTGCGGGCGCGCTCGTTCAGCTGCTCGTTCTCGTGGTTGCCCCGCAGCACATGCACCTCGAGGCAGGCGGCCAAATGCTGAATCGACCGGACACTGGCCTGCTGGAAAGAGAAACCAACACCAGGCTCTTGAGACAGGAGTGGTTGAAACGTTCTTGAAACAAGTTGGCCCAACCCTATCCCACCGGGCCGAAGGCAAAAAAAAACATCGGCGCGCGCTTTGGCGCGCCGAAGCAACGGCTCGTAGGCAAGGGGGGCACTCCTGTCCTGCGCGCATCCACCATGGTTATTCCCAAGGGAAGCAAGGAACAGCTCGCGGGCGAGAGCCAAAGTTTCGGAGAGAAGTCAGAATTACTCTTTGTATCAATATCGATAACAAAAACAATACATTACTCTTGTAATTACCAGAATTATTATCAATGTTATTAACTATAGGCAACTAGAAATGACAGGAATAATAACAATGATGATTATGATACAATAATAAGCCGTAATGAAATTAGATGTGTGGGAGAACTTCATGGCAAGAGTAATTATTATCGAAGGATTCATTGTCTGGTCATCATGGTTTGACTATTAATATTCCCAAGCGAAGAGAGGCCTCTCGCCGTTGGCTCTGGCCTAGACTTGCTTCCACCCATCTCTTTCCTGTCCAAGCCATGCCGCCATGCTGTGCGAGCCAGAGAAGCGAGTGGAAGATGTATCTGGGTGAATGAATGACAAATGATATGGGAGCAAGTTCATCATATCGCCCGGAAAAGGGCCGACGTCGAGACTGGCCTGGCCAGGGTAGCGCATCATGAAGGACAGCACCAGAATCCACGCCTCCACCGCCTGGCTTGTTTTTGTGTTTTTGTTTCCGCCGCTTCACGCGGACACGGGCGGCTCCTTTGGTGGTACCCCTTTAATGGGTGGCGCGTGCTAAGGGAAAAGCTTGAAGGACAACCGCCATTTTTGGAAAGACACACGTGGGAAACGCGGACTTCACGAAAAATCGACACCCCGAAACTGAGAAAAAAAGGGTCCTTGCAGAAGAAACATGTTATGCTCCCGATAATTCCCTAGGTGGAAGTGGGACATCTACAAAAAAGCCGAGGGATCTGAGGTATTTAGGTCTGGGAGCAGCCAGCAGATGGGCCAGGTGGTGCAAAGGGAGAACTGTGCGTCAGCCTTCGGGCCGGTTTTGAGAAAGCCAACCCCTGATGAGAAGCCGCCCGTCTTGGGAAGGGCAAATGTCTCACGTGCCCTGAATCACAAAGGTGTGCGCGCCGCTGAGATTTGGTGAGTACCCCACCCAGGTGGGTCAAGTAGTATGGGTCAAAATTAAACCACCAGGAATTGGACCGTTTGAATCGTCCATGTTTCCACTTACCAGGGCAAGCCATTTTGGGGTTACCCTATTTTTGACAACCACAGCCAAGCGATGGTCCCCAAAAGTGGAACCCAGAAAAGTCGAAGTCTTCTCCGACCTGAACGCCCCGATCGGAGATGTCGCCATTGAAGAGGTACGCGCGATCGCGGCTCGGGGGCCCATGGGTCTGGAAGATGTGCAGAACCTGAGCGCAGGTGAACTCTCAGATGGACAAGACTTTCGAGGTAGGGGGGGCGGGCGGAGGGAAAAGCATTTTTCCAGTCATCCCGAAGGAAAAAGAATCCCCCCGCCCCGTGATTTTCTATGTTGGAGGGGGACGGGCCAAGAGAGGTGGAAGTCTCTGAGACACAACCAGCACTTGCAAGATAAACCTTTGTCCCCAACCATCGCTGGAACCGGTCTGGTTTCCGAGCCTTTCGCAAGAACCTCAACCAAGGACCATGTGTGCAAACACCGTGCGAACCGCTCAGTAATGCCTCAAATCACCTTTTTCCTTAATCCAAACATTATGGGCCTCCATGAACGAGGCTTCTCTGACGGCCAATGAAAAACCGCGACTGCTATCATTTGCGTGTGCGGTGTCACAAACAAATACCCCTCATAAGTATGTCCTTTCAACCCAATAGGGATGAATGCGCTCACAAAAAAATGGGTATGTGTCAAAATAGTGGGGCGCCAAAAGTTGTGGTCTTCCTTTTGGAGTCCCTTTCTGAATAGGTGAAAAGCTTGCTGGTGCTGAGTAGGGAATGAAGGAATGACCCCTATGACTCATCCAACTGATGGTTTCCTTTATTCGGGGACCCTCAGTTCCCACATCCCCCACTTATCGCACCAGCAAGAAAATGAGAAAAGCAACACACGCCACGGCCACCGCCAGCTGTTCAAGCACGTCTACGGCCAATCTGGTCCCTTTCTGAGCAGGTGAAAAGGGGCCACCCTCAAGAAACCGCAGAAAGTCGCACGGCCAGGCGGCATCTGGCAGCTGGCCATGGATGTCACCTGCCATGGAATTGAAGAAGCTGCCGGGAAAACCCCCGGCAGCTGATCCTCTTGGGAACGAGCCCTGACTCTAGAAAACCAACTGTTTGGATGTGGCCAACTGGTGCAGGATTCAGTCCTTCACAGTTCCATTGGGAACACTCGCCACAAAGAAAAACATGATCCTGGGGTGAGGGCCCCCAGAACCCCAACCCCCCCAGAACCCCAAGCCCCCAACCCCCACAAAAAACCACACGTCAACAACCTGCCCAACCCCTTAACACCTTCACCCCCTCACCCCTTGCCTCGCCTACCACCACCATCTGCCGCTGCAGCGGCAGCTCCAGTAGCGCGGAGCGCTGCGCCTCCAGGTGCTGACAAGCCTTCGCCAGAAGCGCCTCCACAACGCCCGCGCCTCGGAGACGGAGGAGTGATCATGTCGAGCCATTGGCTCAACCCAACAGTCAGTGAGTAGTTCTCACTGCATTTTGCCTGCATACCGCCCTAGGTGCCTGTTGGAAAATCGAAAGACCGTGCGTGTGAGTGCCCAACTGGCTTGGTCAAACTGGAGTGGGTGATCGATCACGAATCCGACGCCGGAATCCGGAATGTGGGCTGGGTATAAGGAGTCAGCATTGATGAAGGAACAACCCCCAAAATGGCAGAGAGCTAGCGGACTGTGGCAACGTAATCAATCTCCTCCCCCCGCCCCGCGCGGGTTGAACAAATGCCGGCTTCTATGTGTGTTGCTTGGGATTGAACCCCCAAATTACTTGCATGTTGAAGGGTGTTCAGGGTTCCTGCAAACCACACATTCGAGAATAAAAGCAACAAACAAAAAACACGCCCCAAATTCCGCAGGGAGCCTCCAGGAACCCCCCCCCCCCCCCTGCGCTTTTACCCCGAACCACCCCTGGACCTCAGCGACTTCCACCCCGCCTGGCCGTTCCCGCGAGGTCCCATGCCAGGCGAAGAGCAAGCGCAGCGGATCGGGCAAGGCCTCGCGACGAAGGAAGGAAGGCGAGCCACGCGCGCGACGCGAGCCACGCCGCGCGTAGCTCGAAAGGGGGACGACACCGAGTCTGGTCTCGCGATAATTTGCGACAGATGCAGGGAATGTCAGGTAGGTAGGTTGTATTTACCGCATCAGGTTGGTAGGTTGTAATTCATCTTGAACTCGTCCAAAGGTGAAATGCCTCCTCTACACCCCAAAGCCAAAAAAGCAAAACGACGGAAGGCAACTCGGCTCGCTCCGTTGCAACCGCTTTGGGCACTCTGAACCCTTTGGGCCCCTGGCCGATTCGGATTGGAAAAGCTTTGTCGCTTTGGAAAGCTAAAGCGACCTCGGAGGCGAAGCACCGGACCGATTTTTGTTTTTCCTGACCTGACCTTTGCAAACGGAGTCACCTGACCTTGCACTCTGGGGGGGCGAGTCCTGTTCCCATTGTCTTCCATCCGTCCTTTCTCCGAGTACCATTCACCATTCACCTCCAAGCATTCTAGGGGCTGAGTCCTTTTCCATTCTCTTCCAGCCTTCCTGTCCAACGTTTTCTCCGAGTGTCCGGCAGTTTTCAGGATTTCAGGGGTGCTGGAAGGAAGGGTCCCCGCAAACCTCGAAGTTGCCCGGCTTCTGCCAGCTTTCCTTGCGCCCCTCGCCTCCTCTGTGGACACATCCTCCAGCCTCAGCGGTGGAAACCTCCCACCTGAAGACATCTCCAGGGACATCTGCGCGACTCGCCGAAGAAAACAAAACGAGATCAAACAAATGCAAGCCAACCTGACACCTTTTCGTTTGACACGTGCAAGCGAATCCGAATCCACAAGATTTCGAACAACAAAATCTGACACACACACACACACACACACACACACACACTGTGCCGCAAAACAAAACAAATCAAACGCGTCGGCATCCAACGGAACGGCTTCTGCACACAAACCACTGGCCATGAAATTCGCATGCGGTTCTTTGAACACCTAGTTCGACTTAAGCCTTTGCTGAGAAAGCTTCTCTTGGCCAGTGGCAAACCGACCCCTCTCTATAGCACAGTCTCGTCTTGCTTTTTCTTCATGCTTTTGAGATATCTACCCCACGTTTTTTCACATTAATCCTATATAGGACCCCCCCCGCATGTTTTCCCCCAGTCGGGTCGCAGCCCGTGTTTTTTCGCAGCGCAAGACCACGCGTCCGGCATTGAATTTCCGCCGAGCCACCGCGGGGGGCTCTTCTTTTCCGGCCGCAGCTCCAAGACCTTCTCGTTCACCGCCGCCTAAGCTGAGAACCTGTTGGACATGTTCCCCACTAGAGAAAGAAGTCTGAGATGAATTGTTGGATGCAGTCAGATGTGAACTGTGACGATCTCTTGCTGGGGGGAATGCAAAATGTCCAGGCCCACCTTGTTTGGAGGACTTTTATATGGAAATATGAAATATGACTAACTGCACATAGGACAACGAGAGAAAGGGCAAACCCAAAGAAAGCCACTTGTTCGCCGGTTGGATCCCCTCATGTTGAGGCAGACCCATATGAGCCACGGTCAAAAGCGGGGCTCATGTGATGCACATGGGAAGATTAGAGAGTCCCTTGATTCCTTCCACTTGCTTGAGTCCGCCGGAAAAATCAAGAACTCGTGTCCAGTAGAGATTCCGTTTGTAGGCCACCGCTTTTTGGTCGGTGTTCGAAGGGAAACCAACAGCAAAACCACCGATTTGGGGGGTCCAACCTTAAAACAGGCGCGTACGTAAAATGCTCGCGCGGTTGGGTGGGTCCCAAATGCCAAAACCTTCGCTTTTTTGCAGAACCAGCCAGGTTCGAGGGGCCGAAAAAGAAGGAACAAAAAACAGTTTGTTGTTGTTTTTGGGGGGGAGCAAAAAAGAAAGCCCCCCAAAATCCGGCCAACCCCCCCCCTCTCACCCTTTTTTCCACCCTTGGCCTTTCCTTGGCAAAGCCCAGCGGCCCAGGCAGCCCTCTGGCGCTCGCTCTTGCGCAGCGCCTGCCGCTCCAGGGCCTTCTCCAGGTCCGAGAGCCGCCTCGACTCAACGCTCGACTCGACTCGACGCGCGACGCGGATCGACGCGGATCGACGCAACGAGCGACGCGCGACGCGCGACGCGCGGATGGGGCTCCATGAAATCCGAGGGATCCAGTTTTTTCGGGGGGGAGTTGGAAGAACCAAGTTGGGGGCGGGGGGAGGGATCAAGTTTTTTGGGGGGGCGAGTTGGAGAAAACCCAAGTTTCAGGGGGGCTGGGGGGGGGATTGGGGGAAGGGGAGCCCAATTTTAAGCCCTTATGCAGGCCTTTTTGTTAGTTTTTTGTTAGTCGTGGGGGCTGCAAGGAAGGGAGGGGAGTGCGAGGGAGCCCACATAAGCCCCAATAAGTACTTGTTGGGGCTCCCCTTTCCCCCCTAAAACTCCCCCCCCCCCCGCGCAGCCCCCGTGAAAGTTGAAGGATTTGTTGCGGGGTGAAATGAGACCTGTTCGTGTCCCAACCCAACCCAACCCAACCCACCCACCAACCAAACTAACCCAACCCAGCCCAACCAACCACAGCCAACCAAACAATTGAACCCAACCCAACCCAACCCAACCAACCAACCAACCAGCCAGCCAACCAAACTAAACCAACACCAGAAGCACCGTGTCTCCGATCGCTGCAGCCGCGGTGCGCCGCGCAGAAGTTCCTTTTGGGCAAGGCGAGGGCGGCGAAAAGCCGCAGCCGGCGGTACATGGGACAGCTGGAGGCGGTCAAAAGTACTTGTCGCCCGCTGCAAAATGACTCGTTCCCTTCGGAGGGTCATAGGTTTGGCTATGTTTATTTTTCTTTTTTTTGGTTCCGCTCAGATGGAGTTTGGTTCCAAATGGTGGGATTTCCAAGTAGCCAGGTGGTATGTGTGAACACAAGGCATGCTTTCAAATGGGGTCATCTAGTTCCCTTTGTTGAACCCGTTTTTCTGAGAGGGTCCCCACGCAAGCCGCCAGACCTTTGCACCTTAAAAATGCAAGATGCCAGGGTCCCATTCACGCGTGGACGGCCATGTGATGCCCTGATTCCTCGTGCTGGATGGCCGCTATCGATATGGATGGCTTTTGTTACCTTTTCACAGCAGGTTTCATTGATGAACTTCCCTGGGTCTTTTTAAGGGCACCTTTCCGGTTTTAAGAGGAAACCAAAGGAAAACCACCAGTTTGGGTGGTGGCCTAAAAAGGACAGACCCATTTGCACCGCTCGTGCTTTTCAACGTCTCTGCAACAAAGCGCTGGAACCCGAGAAAAGGACTCGACTCGAAGCGGATGAATCCGAAAACCCCAAATGAGGATTGCCAAAGAAAGACCCAAAACGTGTGTGATTTGTAGGGGGACACAAAAGGATCTGCAAAAAGGCATCCCACTTTTGAACAAGCCTCCAACAGTTTTCGAAGAAACGGGTTCTTGCATCACACCACAAGCATGGGGCCCACAACACATTAACATTTTGTTCTATGAAGGTAATGCCAAAAGTCCATGTAGGCTTTGCCACAGCAAAATCCATTGAAAGAGGCAGGAACGGAACCCTCCCGTTCAATGACCTGGCTGGGACTGTGGCGGCTCATGTGCTACACCAGGTCTCGCCCCATGTGCCGGGCTAGCGAGCCTCCGGGGCAAACGAGGAGCCACTTGATGCCGAGTTCATTGAAACCGAGCAATGGATCCAATCAGTCCCTTGGGGAGCGGATTCTTGGCTCCTTGCCTTCTTTCAGTTCCGAGGGCTTGTTGCGAGCGGCTCGTTTTGAAGCTCCTCTTCAGAACAAGGAAGCCGAATCGATTTGGGGCATAGCTATGTCAGACTAGGATTCTCACCAAGGAGCTTACATCCGCCTTTGCCACTTTACCACAGTCAGCCTTGCAAGGATCCCAAGAGGTTATGGGAGCTGTGAGGTTCCCTGCGCGTTTTTTTGTTTTTTCTTTTTTCTTTTTTTTCCGCAAACCATGCTGCTGAAGCCCAGCGTTCTCTGGAAGCAAGCTCTGTGCTACTGGGAATGATTCCCTGGCATGAGACCACACAGGTCCCCCTCTCTAAGAGGGGCCCCGGCAAGAAGCTCTTGCTCGGCCATATATTGCAGGCATCTGCGGGCCCTTCTTTTTTTTTGCGGTCTTAGGGACCGGGGACTGCGTGGTTTCATGGGAAGTTCGACAGCCAAGCTGAGCTTGGCTCTGTGTAGCTGCCTGCTGGACAGGACCAAATATCGGAAGCCGGCAGGATTTCGGGTCTACTCCCCAAACCGCTCGTTGCCCTGTTGTGCTCACTTCAGCTCCCCTCAGATAGGTGTAAGGGCAGTTTCCCATTTACCCTCTACAAGAACAAAGAGCAGGGCTTCAACTCCCCAAACCAATCCAAACCTCTAAGTAAGGGATACCGGGATACCTGAACATCTTCTCAAAATGGGAACTCCCTCAAGCACTTCTGCCTTGTGAAGGGCAAGCAAAGCTTCCAACTGGTCAGCAAAACACCAAGTTTGGCGTGGTAGTTTCTCCGCTGGACACTATCCCCAGAACACGTCCCGGTTCGGCAGGTGCTTGAAAAGGGGACTCCTTGGAGAGCATGCAAAAAGTGAGACAAACAACTTGTGCCATAATCGGTGAATAAGATTGAACCCAGGCGTTGATCCCAAAGGAAACCCACCAGTTGGATGTCTTTTTCTGTTTGTCATTCCATGTCTCCTTCCCTGCATCTCTGGCACCGGTCCCCTTAAAGGAAACTATAGGGGATGGTTCACACGGGGCATTCCCTCATTCCCTGCATCTCTCGCACCAGCAAGAAAAGGAACATGGTTGCCATGGACAGAGCGCCAAATAAGAGCGGAAAACATATTAGCCACTAAGAGCGGAAAACTGGAAGCAACTAAGAGCCTTGGTCTCCAATTTTCCGCTCTTAGTTTGAACACTTTTGCCATGGAGCGCCCCCCAAATCCCTCCGGCTCCGGCCGCGGGCCGCGCAATCTTCGGTGCAGTCGCCGCGGCTCGGAAATGGATTTCTCCGAGGCTGATGCCGCCCCTGTGGGGAGTCGACTCAGGAACCCGTTGAGCATTCAATGGGAACCTGGATGTTTTTCACCTCTCGGCTCTTGGGCGTCCCATTTTTTGCCGGATCACTGCAGAAAAGACCCCAAACCTGTTGCTGAACTTCCATTTTAAACTTAAGTTTATGGGCCAACCAAAAAAAGTGGTGGGGCGCAAAAACCAGCAGGTGCCCTGGTCTTCGAGGATGTTGTTTTCACTCCACGAACATCTGAGCCACCCCCCCATTCCAGGCTGGGCCGCCAAAGACTCAGCGTGCGCTCTCAACGCTTGTCCCTGCGAGGCGTCAGAACCTTTCTCTTTTGCGCAAGGTTTTTTAATTGAAGTTGGGTTTTTCCTTGGTGCGCCTGGCGAACACCGCCGGAAGGTCTGTCAACTTTTGCCCAAGAGGGGCGAAAGCAGCCCAGCTCGATTTGTCGTCACGTGAACAGTAGGTGTGGGATTGAACTGAGCTGCTTCAGCTTCTGATCGCAACGTGCAGCAGGGCTTCCGTTCTTCCCCTCTTGAACATTCCCTTTATGTCCGCAAGACGAGTACAAAACCGAAAGGAGGCGCAGACTTTCACCCAGCTCTACCCAACCAAAGGAAGCTCGCTGCAAAAAAGGCAGCCAAGAAGCTATGTCTACAACTGCAGAAAGGGCAAAGGTGAAGCCTCGGCAAATCTACGCGTCAAGACCAAGTGGAAGCCGCGGATTTGGCAACTGCAAGTAACATTTAAGGTCTATCCTGGTGCTTCCTGGGGTTTCCCGAGACTCTAGACAAATGTTGCGGGTTCTTGGGGATTTCAAGGGCTGTCTGTGGTTTGGGGTGCAGAGAACTGCCCTGTTGAGCAAGTCGCCGGCTGATACCTGATATCACGCTCGTTTTCTTGTGCCTGCTTTGAAAACTGTTAGGGCTGGTTCAAAAGGGCGTGTCTTTCTTTGGGACCCCCGAAACCCCCCCGGAATTCAGGGATCAGGTGTAATTTATGCAGCGCGCCGGTCTCCACACCTTCCCCGCCCAAATGGGAGCCCGGCGTCCACGAAAGCGCCGCTAGCCGCCTAAGGGCGCAGCAACCCAAGGCTCAGAGACGATGGGGTTTTTCGGTGATCCTGATTCCATTGGAAGCCCATCTCATGGTTCAAACATGAAGTATAAAATGGGCTTTTGAGTTTTATGAATATATATATATATGTAGATAGATAGATAATTAGATAGATAGATAGATAGATAGATAGATAGATAGATAGATAGATAGATAGATAGATAGATAGATAGATAGATTGCCCCACTTCCCTCTGCATTTCCGCCTGGAAAAAACAAGGAAAATATGTCCAGTAGTGAAATGTGGATTCACTCTAAAAAGCCAACAAGGGAACATTAAAAAAAGATGCATGCATATATACATATGTGTATATACATATGTGTATGTACATATGTGTATATACATATATGTATACACATATATATATATATATATTCATTTCAGCAAATGCAAGCCGTTGATCAACCAAAAAGTGCTAGGTCAAACCCTCTCTGTCTGGGGCCACCCCACCCACGGGCTGGAGGATCGCATGGCCTGGAGACACCAAAATAAAGCCCGCCGATCGATCCCCTAGCTGGGTGTGAAACGGAAAAAATATGGAAAATTGGACAAATTGACCTATCCCCTTGCAGGGGTCACTGGATTTCAACAGAAACACCGGGAAAAATGCAGGAAACTTGGACAAAATTGGACCTATCCTTCTTTACAGGGTAAAGCTGGATTTCCCCTTCGGAGGTTGCAACTTTCCTTGTGGTGTCCGTTGAAACTTCAACTTTTGGAGGTTCGAGAAAGGGCAATGGACGAACCTCCTGCCTGTGGCTTCCTTTGGGGGGCTGCTCAGCACTCAGCTGATGGACAAACTCCACGCGAATCGATCGGCACTGGGATGGAATAAACCCGGGAAACCTACCAGCAGGATGTTGTCCCATCAGCACTGCAGTGTGCCCCAACCCAAAATCATAGGTTTCATTCTCCGCATTGTGTGAAGCTTTGAATAGAACATAAGTTCAAGAAAGATCGCAGACCCTACAACACGGCTCAATTCTGGAATGTCTCAGTCTGCCAAGTTTCAAGCACGTGATGGGGCTGCACAGTGTGGGAATGAGATTGGGTTCCGTCCCCCCTGACAGAGGGAAACTCCCTCAAGGACAAGAATGCTTGAAAAATAGGGGAAGCCCCAAACATGTGGTTTTCCTGTTGGTGTCCCTTTGAATTTCGGCAAGAAGGCTACCCTCAACAAAACCACATACCCAAACTTGGAGCCAAAGCTAGCTGCTTCTTGGCTCCCCACTGAGGGAATGGCCCAGCCAGGTGTCCACTTGGGATCCCAATCTCGAGACCTCCCCGAGAAAGCTTCAAGTGATTCCATACTTCGCGAGAAAAGGTGAGACCAAAACTGATTTTTTGAGGATCCCAAAACGGTGCCCATATGAAGCCAACCTGCATGGATTGCGGTTCTCATTCCCAGTGCACCTCCAACGGCACAACCCATCCCCACCCCCAAGGCTTAATCCCCAAAAGTGTCGACCACCTCACCCCTCCCCCCTAGGCCGTTCACCACCGAGCCATCCTCTCCTCTCCCATCCGAAAAGCAAAAAGAAAAGCCCACCACAACCCACCCCTCGGCTCGCTCGATCAATTCGCACATGCGCTCGATCGATTCGCTCGATGCGCCGCGCGGAGATCTTCTCTTTACCTTGTATTATTTGGATTGTTTGTTTGTATCTTCTAATTACCTTTCCTAACCTTATGAATCTTCTTTTTGGACAACAAACATAAAATAGATGAATTTCTATAATTTGCGTTTATTACATTTAGAAAACAAATATAAACAAACAATAAAAGAAAATAATAAAATAGAAATAATGGGACATGAAAATAATAGCTTCCTTCGTGCCTCAGATAAATCTATTATTCTCATGTTGAATATTTATTTTGTATTACTAATGAAATCTCATTTACAATCATATCCTTGTCCTCTGATCATAAATTATTTTTGGAATCTTGGTTTTTTATTAGGAATTACTATTTTATTACAAATTATCTCTGGAATCTTCTTAGGTTTACATGTAACATCAGATATTAATTCAGCATATTTTAGTATTTTCTTTTTAATTAGAGAAATATATTATGGATGGTGTTTACGTTATCTTCATTCTAATGGTGCATCATTTGTCTTTCTTTTTATATTTCTACATCTTGGAAGAGCTATATCTTATGCTTCATATTTTTATAATCCTAATACTTGGTTTTCTGGAATTATTATTTACTTCTTCTTAATGGGAACAGCATTTATGGGTTATGTTTTACCGAATGGACAAATGAGTTTATGGGGAGTTACAGTAATTACAAATTTATTATCTCCCATTCCATCTTTAATAGAATGGCTTTGTGGAGGACATTATGTTTACAATCCAACATTGAAGAGGTTCTTTGTCTTTCATTTTCTATTTCCATTTCTTCTTTGTGGTTTTCTTCTTTATCATATTTTTAATCTACATTTTCTATCTTCTAATAATCCTAACAGGAATTCCACTAATAATAAAACAGCATTTTTTCCGCGCGGCGCCTGTCTTCTCCTTGGCGAACTCCGCGGAGTCCACCAAGTCCAAGGCATTCTCGAAGGCCACCAGCTGAGATCGCGGCGCGGGCGGGAGCGCGTCTCATCGAGCGCGCGCATCGCATGGCGCGCGGGAGCGCTGGGGGGGGGGGGAAGGTCGTGGTGTCAGAAAAGCAACCCGGAAGCAACCCGGAGGCAGCGGGGGGGGAGGGGCTAAAGGGATTTCAGCGAATTGGGGTTGGTTGGTGAGAAAAAAAAAGGGACGGTCAACCGCGAACCACCGGGCATTCAGAGTGAGCCCCTTAGATGTGTTCCAGCTACCAAAGGACTTGGACTTGGAGGCGAAATCTCGGCTTCCCGAAGGACCCAAATGGGCTGGATCGACCTCCCGGCGGTCAACTCTTCATCTCACTTCTGATCGAGTGGAGTGCCAAAAAGAAACCAGTCCGAAGTGGTGATTTTCCGCGGTCTTCGGTCTTCCAAAAAGTGCTTAAAGTCCGTGAGCCCAGGAAGTGAGTTCTACACAAACTGGACCACTGGCAAACCACTGCTTGACCAATACTAAACCAATACTTGGAAAGTATTGAGGACCGAACAGGACCAATACCACATCGATAACGCGAGACAGCAAGAGAAAAGTTCCAATCATTTCGCAACAGCGTGGTTCGGAGGTTCGCGCCTAGAGACTCAGGTAACCAGGTTTCGAGGCACACAATTGTCACAAGGTCCAGGAGGGTGCATGCCTCTTGGGAGTCCCAATCCGACTAGCCAAAGCGACTACTCCAAGAAAAAAAACGATCTGACCCGCGCATCTCAATTGCGGTCGGGTGCCCTGTATTGATCAGCCGCCCGTTTCACCTCCCCCCGCACGTGGCCGGAAAATGGTCGGCACTCGGGTTTTTGGCTTCTTGGTTGCGTGGAGGGAACTCCAACCGCATGTGCATCTACAGAGGAGGGCAAAAGTGTCCCCAGAGCCCCGACTCTACTCTTGTTGGGGCTGGTTTAAGGGAAACTATAGATTCAAGGGTTACCGGTTTGGGGCCCAAAAGGAAACAACAACCGTCCAAGTGCGCTGCTCGCACATTTTCACGCTTGAACAGCCACACTGCGGATGCAACGGATGTAAAACCCCATAATGACCGATCTAATTCTTCACCCCCCTCTGCGTGTTAAAGGGGCCTTTCACAAAGCAGCCAAACAGTAACACAACAGAGGGAGAAGGTCAAGGGGAACCGTTGCACTCATGCAAACCATGACGGATGCGCTTTTAGCGCCACCGCCAAGATGAATAACTTCCGCTGCTGTCTCCCCATCCGCTCCACTCGGACCAGTTCTGCCAACTGCCACGGCTCCACTGCTCGCCCTCGCGGGCGGCGGGAGCACTTGTTTCGGCATGACGGGCAGCATTGCGAGCAAGATGTTTGCTGCTTTCGTTCCTCGAAAAATCTATCGAGTTCCGTGCATACCGTTCATTTTGGCCAAAAATCCAGTCCATCTCATTGCGGAGGTCGTCCAACGTGTTGCCTTGCAAACGAATAATCCCGTTCCAGCAACCAATACTGCGGGGCCTATTCTGCTCCATCACCACGTTGACGAACGCTCTGGGGCTGTAGGGCATCCCTTGAAACATCACGATCCAGCGAGAGGACAAAGCCTCTTTCAGCTCATTGGGCAAGAACTCCAAATCTGTTCTGATGTACGCGAGCCTTGCGATTCGCGACTCCGACGTTGAACCAAGGCCAACGCCCAGAGTGCGCTGGGCCTGCGACTGCTTTGGAGCAGCTAGAACAAGATTTGCGCTCAGCTCCATGCGGAGCATGTCCGCCTCCCGACGGCCCACCTCAAGCATACGAACCCTGTATTGAAGATCGAGTTCGTAGCGGTCAAGTAGAGAGTGGTAGCCGTTCTTCAGGGCGGACTTGAGCTTTTTCCGCGCCTCCTGAATGACGGCACTGTCCGGGGAGTTCAAGCCACGAATGATGCTGTTACGATCCTCCTCGCGAAGGTCGGATGTTCCCACAGATGCAAGGACCTGAGCTGTGACGTGGGTGCTGAGGCCCATCTTCTTCAACAGGTTGGAACGCTGCATGATGTAATTGCGTTGTTGCTCTTTCAACAGGCGTGGATTGAGGGGAGATAACTGCCCACATGATGCGCAATGCACCTGCCCCTCGAAGACGCTGTTGTCGCAAACCGGGCACGTGGCGACATTCAACTCAACATTCTCCATTGGATTGAAAGTCTTCTGCCTCTTCGCTTCCCCTTGCGGGGCACGAGGAGAGGCCACATTTGCGCGCGTCGTAGCAATACGTTCCAGCGCTGTTGAACGATCATCTGCCACAGCTTGTTCGCGCTTCATCCCCTGGGGTTCTTCTTCAATCGCCTCTGCTGGTGCACCTGCATCCGATTGCTCGGAGCGAGTGTACCAAACATCGCCATTTGTAGCGTCCAATACCGAAATAATCGTGTAATTGGGCACCTTGTCGCGCGTGAGGACACCATCCCTCTCTGTCTTGAAAAAGCAAAGCCCTGCGCGAATGGCCATTCTGAGGTCGATTTGTATCTCCAGGGGTCGACCTGCGCGCACACCTGATACGTAGTGTTCGCTTGTGCTGGGGACGTCGGCGAAGAAGACGTGGGGCCGGCCGGTTTCATGCTGATCTCCACCGCCTGGCAATAATCCGTTCCGCATGATGATAGCGAAATGTTGCTTGTCGCTGCTGTGGTAAAGCACAGTTGGAGGATTGTCGCAAACATTCCAGCCGGCCCAGCGCCCGAGGTCAGTCCCCGGGTTCACGTACCACTCCTTCGCGATGCCGGAGTCGTCGATCTTGAGCCAGTCCTCATGGCCTTGGGAGGCCTTCAGCTTGAAAAGCCAATGAGAACAGGGGACGTCTCCGCACCGGCTTGCGTCCGGGCAACCAAGGCCAATAATGAACCTCTGCTTCTTGTCCAACTTGAAAATATCCATGATGTTCTGGATGTTCCATGGAATGGGATGTCGCAGCTCCTTGCGAAGCGCGAGTCCCAAGTCTTCGAGGTCCATGTAGCCGTCCTCATCCATCACATACCCGCATCCTTCTGTTCCGCGACCACGAAGGATCTTGGAGATGCACATCAGGGAGCGGTGGTATTCGTCACTGATTCTCCTGACAGAAGGGTCGTAATCGAATGAGGGTTGCTTGATGATGCTGAGCCTCTTGGGGCCTTCGCCGTAATCGACATACTTCACGCCATCGTGAATGCTATACACCCAGCAGTCATAATGGCCCCCTGTCACGCTCCTCTCGTAGGAGTCGAGTGGTACCGGCCTGCTCACCTCCTCGTCCTTCATTGCCACCGCAGCCGCCTTTGCACCGGCTCGCGCCGGGCGAACACTTTCGGAAACATCTGCACCGGAAGGCTCGCCCGAAGTTGCAAACTCGGCTGGGTTGACGGGGGCGAAGTCGAGAGGCTGCCGGACTTCCACTTCTTCTCTGGTGAAAGGGAGCCCGATCATCTCCGACAAAGAAACACCGGATTTTGTAAGCGTCTCCTTGCAGTGCGCGAGAACCTCAACGTTGACTGTACAATCTTCTTGGTGGCGCAGCTCGAGCACATCGATCGGACGCACGGTACAGTCGTGCGAACGTGTCAGCTCGGCTACGCTGCCCATTGCGGGGCGCAAGATAGAAAGCATATACATCATATGATGGGTTCCGCGCAAAAACTGGACGGTCTTCGTCTCGACGAAGGGTGTAGCATCTACGTACACGAGCATATGATTGGGGTCGCCAATGATAAAGTCCCGGACTTCAGTCATATAACGGTCCCAAATCATAGAGAAGCCGTAGAGATAGCTTTTCGCGCCGGTCATGACTCCAAGGCATGCGCAGCCCTTGCGGGCCGCGAAATCCCTGGTCCAGGCCAGGTGCCTCTTGGTGTCTGCCAGCAACTGGCTGGCTTCGCCGGCCGGGTGGTCGAACGGGAAGGTGCCACTGGGCTCGATGCCGTCCTTCCCAACAAGCTCATTGCCGTTCCAATAGATCATAGGAACGATGGTCGCCGTCGGGTAGTCCGTGCGCACCTCGTCGATAAGGGCGGCCATGCGTTTGCAAAGCTGCTGCAGGCCTTTCCCCCATAGCATTTCGGACCTCCATGCACCGACACGCGCCGGGCGAGAAGAATCCAAGCGTTCCGAAAAATCATATTTGCGGAGCTTCTTCTTCTTGCCGGACACCATTGACAGTCCAGAGTCTGCGACCGTCACGTAGATGAGGAGATCTCGATCGGGCACACGAGGTGCCTGCACCACCTTCAAATAAGGCTCGCTTATCATCAGCAAAGGCGTCAGCAGCTGCAAATAATGCGGTTGGTCCTGCACCCATGTATGGATAAGCGACTGTGCAGAGGTCGTCTCCAAAAGCCCTTTGACTGTTGCTGCGAGGTTCGCGTCGTACTTGCCGTTGGTGCATACCGATGTGGTAGCGCTATTTTCCATCCACCGCCTCCATGCCGGATCGCAATCCCTCGCGGGATGCGCCATAGCCGTCTGGCTGCTCATTGCGAAAACGAAGCAGCACAATTACTCGAAAGCAACGGCTGCATGGCGGCGTGTTCGGAGAATGCATTGTGAACGGCATCAGTGTAAATGTACGTGTATCCCTCGGCTTCCTTCAAGTGGGTGCCACGGCTTTCATCATGCTCGTGAGAACCATCACATTTGAAGTACTCAACAACAGAAATAGTGGGCATGTTGCTGGCAACGACCCATTGCTTTTTCATTGGTTTTCCATTTCTCCCTTTGATGCCGATTTTACAACCATGGAATTCGTACTTGTTCTTCTTGTACTTAGTCAAGAAACTCCATAGTTCAGGCCATTTCCAATAACGACACGCCTTAGGGAGTTCGAAGGCAACTCTGATGCCATCTGAATAAACATCATTGAGAATGCGTTTGAACCCTCTCAACAGTGATCGAAATTGCTTGATGTGGCCCTCAATTTTGGCAGCCTTTGGGAGTTTGCTGGTTGACATAACCCCACGGGCAACCTCCAGTGCATGGCAAAGAGACGTAAAACATGATTGCGCCCT